CTTCCGATCAATACTAACAATTTGTCTGCGTGCGTATATATATATTATGTACAGTACGGAATACTTCGAAAACGTAGTTTGAAATTGCATATGTGAATTGAATCATAAACGGCTCGTGGGAAGGAAAGGTGCGCGCAGACACCTATCGCGATCGCGTCCTCCCTGTTTTCGTGCCCGCGAAGTCATTCTCCGCGTGTAAAATATTACATACCTATACATATTATACATACGTGACCGGGTAATAAGTATATTTTTTTCCCCCTTCGACGAGTATATTACTATCATCGTTTCGTCCGTCCATCCCGAACGTTATGGTACACGGACCATCAATAAACCGACAGCACGTATATTTACCGGTCACAATTGTTCATAAACTTTGCATGTGTATGTATTTATTAAAACGAATGTTCGTTTTTTTTTTTTTTTAATACAATAGTAACTAATCTTCGTTCCATCATATAAGCGATTGAAAAATACAATATGTTTCCAATGTAAAATGTAAAGAGTGCAGTTTAAAATGCAGTCATATTGCGCATACATTATTGTTCAATATTATTAATTGTTAATAAACAAGATGAAATCATATAACACTTTAAAGGTGTGTGAGCGCTAAAAGTGTTGAGACATCCATGCCGGGATGTATTTTTCAGCGATTAATCATTTCGAACAATATGAAGTAAGTAAATATTATCTAACAGCAAACCTTTATAGTACTTATATTGTAATATACGCACGAACCGAATCAAATTAATTTTGCAAACCTCATTAAAGTATGCAAATATTACTGTAACTATAATAACAAAACAGAATCATACTCAGCATTAATATCTATTAGTCAACCGACAATTTCAAACAATAAAATTAAGTAAAACAAATAATAAGTAGAAAAAACATAGCAAATCATTATTTATAAAATTAAATCACTCTTAAGTGGATCAAAACATGATTCTTAAACAATGAACAATTGCGATTATTTCAATATGCAATAATTATAATGCATTCTTAACGATCAAAGAAATGTTCTAACGAGAAACACCTGATTGATTGAATGTTGCGAAAAAATGCACTACTTGATTGCTTAACCACGTTATGAAATATGTGATTTGGGAATGTGCCGAAGTACAAAGTAGGCGAAATTAACATTAATTAATACGAACAGTCCATTATATATGTAATGGGTACTGAATGACAGTTTAGTGGAAAGAGAGCAAAGCGATTTCGAAGATGACGACAACTCGTCTTTATAATAAACCAACCATAAATAAAACGATTTTTATACACGTATGTAGTCACGATTTAGAATTAATTTAATCCACGATATTTCCATACGAATTTCATCGGCAAAAATATGTTCAATGATGTGCACATAATTATGTTTTAAGGACATGGACAAGTTAAAATTATCAGAAACATAAAATAACCATTTTAACGGTAAAATGGTAAAAACTGTGACCTTGCATAGCAATATACAATTGCAATACATGCACTTATAGGTAAGAAACTATACAGAAAATGTATACAAAATTATACATTTGCGAGCTTATGACTTATCAACATTATTGATTGGATTGAAAATTACTTAAAAACAATGTCTACAAAAAATAATGTGGATGTATGTTTAATTATTCTTACAAAAATTTCGTGTGCTGATATTTAATGACACAAAATAAATTTTCTACAAACATATAATGACTGGGAAAATGAGTAAATCACCTTCCTTTGAGTAAATCACTCGTTGAGGTTTACGAGTGTAACGCGCGGTGTGAGTACGTGTAACGGTATAATATTATATATTATGACAGAAGTAAGTTTTTCAAGAATGCACTTCGTACAACTGTGCTTATCACTCCGCACACATTTCCAAAGCGAATTCATTTAAAGGTCGTGTATTGGAAGAAGAAAATAAAAATTAACAAAATAGATGAAGAAAAAATAATAGATACTAGTAAGTACTTCCTTAAACGGTAAGATATTATTGGTTTCGCAATTGTTTACGGTATGGTCTATGAAAAAAAAAAAATTAATAAAATGCTGCGCACAATAAAATGTACATCGGAACGAAAAATATAAAAGAAAATGAAATAAATAAAGAATAAGAAAAGAACGTGTTTCCGGTAAATGTGTGTCAGGACATAGGTCTATAGAGTGTTCTTTTATGTACAAATTGAATAGAGGTTCTATTACTATACACATGGCCGGTATAAAACATGTCTTTTAAACGGAATTAAATCGTTATTGACCCAACGCACGAGATCGTATAAAATATGCCCTGCGCGGTCATCACGTTATCTCCATCTCGGATTCAACATATAACACATTTATATTTATAAGTATACGTATAACTTGAGTTTTATCATAAACGTGTATTTTATGAAATATTACGGTCGAACGGTGCAGCATCACTGGTGCCGATGGCGTATTATAGTAATCGCTAGAAAAAATATTAATATCGCAATTTGTGTATGTGCATATTATATATATGTGTTCTTTTTATGCATATAGTATATGCAAATTATATATACATATACGAATATATAAGAGGTTATTTTTACCGATAATAAGGTGAAATAATGAATATAAAACACTATAGTTTTAAAAAGAGTATTCCACTCTAACTACATAGGAACAATATTAACTAATAATAATGATATAATAATAGAGATTATTATTAAACAAAGAAAAAAAGGGTAATAAATGCTACCGAGGTTCGGGAAAATTATAAAGTTCTATTAAATTTCTATTAAAAAACTAAAATTATAGATATTATATATGTCATTAATACAACACAGTGATGCTATGTACAGCTCAGAAACATGGCCTTTTGGGAAAACGGGTGAAATAAGGTTCAATATTTTCAAAAGAAAAATTCTGAAAAAGATTTTTGGATCACGTAAAGATGATCGAACAGAAGATTAGAGAAAAAGACACCATCAAGAACACAGAACCTTTTTTAACGCAGAGCCTTAATATTACATAAAAAAAAAAAGTTAATTAGAACACTGAAATAAATTATATACTTAATAATAAGGACCATAAAGTATAAACAATCCGACAAGAAAGTACTACCTGGAAAGACCTCGCTTTAAATGGGAAGACTGTTGGAGTCAATTATAAAAATATAATGCTTAAAAATGTCAACGATAAGATTTTAAACATGTTCAATGTCTAAAAATCTTATACTATTTTTTTTTTTTAGTGTGTTCGAACATTGATTAGGTTTTAAGATACATACATGGAGCCTAAAATCCATCCCAACTTGGTTTAATAAATAATTTCTATACTTTCCTAAGATATAACTGTCTTATTATTTTAAAAATGATAACCCTACAAACGATGCTGCTTTGATGTTCATATTTGAAATCTTTGAAAGTAATTTAATTTGTTATCCCAAAATCTTAGAAAATATAAACTGATTGGTTCCCACCTTTTTCACCGGGTCAACGACTACCTTTTATGAGTCATACCATTCGCAGTATTGTAGTTGTATGGTAATTAAATAAATCTGTATTATTCAGATTCGTAATAACCTTGACGATTTCGATATCAATATATTTCTTATTGAATAATGAATCGAGAATTCGACATTTATGTTTACATTTTAAATCTTAACATTTTTTTTTTACACTTGCACGTTTAATTTACAATATTATATCAAAGTTATATATATATATATATATATATATATATATATATATATATATCAATACAATTGTTTTATTATTTGGAATAATAAATATTGTTTTTCATATTTAGAATTATAGGTAACTCGTTTTATCAAATGAATAATACAATACATAATTTATTTTTTAGTTCAATTAATTCTAATAGTATAATATGAGCATTCCATTGCCCTTAATGAGCGTCAATGAGCATATTATAATAATTATTATTTATATATCGTCCGCATTTTAAATTAATTATCCTGCATTTCATATCCCATTATATTATAGTCCGTCGAATATTGTCAAATTTGTTTTACAAACGGGCACGTGGAAATATTTAACTGCGGAATTCTGTTCGGACTCGAATTATTATTGAAATCAAAGTACGCAAAAAACGTCACGGTTATCATCATAATGCGCATTATTACATGTTGCGAAACGTAGTAGGGTTTGAAAAACATGAACAACAGTGATACTTATCGCTTATCGGCCTTCCTCCAACCCCGCCCGTCAAAATAAAATCCTGGATACGCCGTACCACGCGTGTTACTCGTAAACATCGTTATTGTCGTCGTCGTTTCAATGTTTTCGGGATTGATCAACGCTGTTGCCATGGACTTCCCCCAAGGGGAGGGTGGGAGGCACTTTCCCCCCCCTAAAATTAAATTTTTTTTTTTTCCAAATCATTATCTGTAACGTGCCAATTTAGTAAACATAGATTAATTTAATATAACACATAGAAAAAATGTATAATAACGATTGGATTATTTTATCTCATCGTACATTTTATACTCGAGGGAAAAAAAAAAAAATGTATAAAAAATCTTAATTAATTTTGCCCCCCCCCCCTTAAAAAAATGTCTGGGGACGCTCATCGTTGTTGGATCTACGATGCACGATAACGAACGCGCGTCGCCGGACGGAAACAAAATATTCGAATCGACGACGGGTTCGGTGGGTGTGCCGCGCGTTAAGCTATGTAGCCGCCCCGGGGTAAATTAAAATATGCCGCCCTTGAGAAGATTACAGTTGAAAACAAAAAACAATATATGTAATCGAAATAGTATGCGCTATAGTTATACATTCGTACAAGAAAAATGATAATTATAAATTTTTTATTTTACGTTAATGCTCGAAAATTTGCCGCCCCCCGGGGCAACTGCCCCTCCCACCCATCCACCCACCCGTTAAACGCGACTCTGCGCGCGCTCGTCAGTAGGCAACGGTCGTGTTGTTGCGCGAACAGCGCTCGGACCGGATCGACGCGAACACGTCACACATCGGCGCGGGGCCAGGTCAATAGGGCGATAGGCCGTGCTAATCGCACGGCGGCATAGTGCACCGGAACCGCGGCAGTCTTATTCAGTCGACCGGGCGCGCGCGCACGCATATCTGCAATCAGCGTCCGACGGATAACGCAACAATGTTGTGACGTTTGTTTTTCCTTCGTTCTCCGACCAAGTGCTACTCCACCGCGTATTGCCGACGAGTAACTCTCGCGAAACGCGCACGTGCCACCGCGCCAACCATGAAGACCACCGCGGCGATAGCGTTGCTCCTGTGTTGCGGCGCTTCATTGCTGCCCCGTTCAACAGGTAAGTCTTGCGGACGGCACCGAAAAAAAAACCGATCTATAGCTCTCGGTTCGTCGGTCGGCCACGTTTTCCCGCCGAAAACCCTTCGGCTGCGTTCGTCCCGGTGTCCCCGTCGCGTCTCTTGGAGCTCGTTTTACGTTCAGCCCATTTCTGTAGCAGAGAAACGGGCATGAAAGTGGACCGCACCGGTGTGTAAACACGTCACTCGCGTTGACCGTGCTCCTCGCATTGTCGCTGCCCGTCAACAACGGTAAATCGAGCAGTGCGAGTAGCAGGTTAACCCGACAGCGTAGTGATAACAGCACACATTAGCAGGGCAACGCTCACTGCCCACGACGCCGCCGCTGAAGTATTTTGAAGTATTTCGAAGTGTTTTTTAAGTATTTTGAGAATTGAATACAGCAGCGCGAGGAACAGCGGCGATGGCTGAATGTAAATAAGGTATTGGAGCTCCGACGAGCACGATGCCTCTCCGCCATGAAATTCCGTAACACGGCCGTCGCGACGGCGCTGTTTTCTATAGACTTTATTTCACCTGTTCCGCTCGCACTGCTGCTGATGTGTATCGAAACGGTTCAAGTGTACCGTTGCACAGAAATTAATAAAATAATCATTCGATTTGACAAACATCTTCGGAACAGAACAATAAAACGCCCGCAGTTAATATATTCCTATGAAAGACCGGAAAAAATTATTGTTTCGAACAAAGTCAAAACAATAAAATTTTATTTGTTCCGTAAAACCTTGTATTCCACGCGGTGGCGTATCCGACTTTATGGGCTGGAGGGGAGGGAATAAAAATCCACTCGAAAAATATGGGAGCTATATTTCTCTAAGCCTTCCTCCCTAAAAAATTCCTGGGCGTGCCCGGGGAGTCAAACAACATTTATTGCACTCAATACAGGTAGTTACTTTTTTTTTTTTTTAATTTACATAATATAATTTTTGGAGAACTCCCCAATAAAATGTCTAAAAAACTTAGACACATGAGATAACTGTACAACATGTATTAGATACTTAGAAACAATATGTATTTAAAATAATAATCAACAATAGGTAATCTCGCTAAATCATAAACTTCAAGTTTTTTTTTTTTTTTTTTTTGGGAACTTTTGTAACCTTACCTTAGTAAATTTATAAACAGACACCAACCAAGGAAAGACTAGTTGTACAGCATTACACGCAAATGGTTTTCGTAGCTTTCTGGAGCTTCGAGAAATATCGATGAGGCAAAAGGTCCCTTGAGTCTACCCTAACCACACCGCCTATTAACGTTCGCAGAGTGTGTGCACTCGCATGAAGCTTTTACGATCGAAATATTATGACAGTGTTTATCATTGCGGCGGACGTGTGCATTGCAACCGATTTCCATTTGCAAATTGTATTTTCCGCCCGCGCGTGTATAATAACCGTTTCCTTAATCTTAGAACTGCACACGCACACACCCGTTCACTTGCGCACACATAAATCTGACCGTCATTACTCTGCAAATGCATACATTGTGTACATATAATGAATATATTTAGGTTCATATATTCGCACGCTGTGTCTACGGCACATATTGTAATACGCAATATGTAGTATTGCCGTAATTAATGACTGGTACTCGGTATCTACGTAGCCGTTCGACTATTAGTCGTCGTCGATCAAAACGCACTTATTATATTACACCGGTTGTGTTGTTTTCAATCATTTCCTTCGCCGTTTATTGTTCTCGTGAGATCCAAGTCCATCTTAACCGATTGTTATTTTTTCGAATACGTTATTCCGTTTACTCGATTCTCGTTTTATTTTTATAAGTTTTTCGAAATTTATCGAGTTTCCGTCACTAAAACTGTACAGCCCTGAAGTAATTTCATTTTCAACAAACATTGAGAATTTTTAGTCCATATTAACTAATTGTTTCATTTAAAATCGGTCATAATCGCTGGTCATGAAAGGACCTACGGACAACGATGTATTACATACAATAACTTAATCAAAGGTCTGCGCGACTATGTATAACTGAAGAAAAAAAAAATTATTGATACATCCAAAAAATTAAATGTTATTAATATAATATATTAAAACAAGTTTTATCATTAATATTATTAAAATAATATAACTACTATAACTAATGCTTCCTGTTTAAAGTATTTAAATTGAATTCTACTGAAATTCATATGTATCAATGAATTAAATTTAATTGAATGAAAGTACTTCGATAAACCATACAAAAGACATAAAACTATACCAGCTCTTGTTAGGTTTGATATTAAAGTTGTAACCAAACGTAAGTAGTAAATAATAGTGTTAGAATAACAATTTAATACCGATTCATAACTATTATAGTAAAGGATAGCAAATAATCAATAAGTAAATATATTAAGCTTATAAGTGTTAAAAAATTAGAAAAAAATTGATAAAGTCGTATACGAAGTGCATAAAATTGACTGTTATGACCGTACGAATATACGTTATATATTTATATATACATAATCCATAGGTATATATATATTGCGTGAACGGTACACATTAATTGAACGTGAACCTTCCAACGTGTTTGTAATCTGTTGTTTGAATTTTTATCTGAACAAATGTATTACCTGTTCATCAGTCATTGAAAACTCTTGTTAGAAAAATGTATTAATAATTTATCTAAAGAATATATTTATCTGAAATATATCCGTGGTCGCAAAAGTTTGGGAACCACTGTTGTAAATAACAAATTTAGATTGTTTTTGTAATATATATTTTCTTTTTTTTTTCGCGTGGATTCATATGTTAAAACAAACTTTAAAATCGTTCTCCTGTAAAATTACAAAAACATCACTCACAACACTTATGCGCTGTGCCATCGATGAATATTCCGATCAACAATTTAACATGGCTAAACTTATTTTTTAGTACGGATGCATTTCGTACACAATATTCCCTTGAACAATTTATACGCTTAAGGTACGGTTTCCTAGACGCGACCGGTCGCCGAGACAGGTCGCCGCGATCGGTCGCTATAACCTGTCGTTGGCGCGTGCTGGTTTCCCAGGCGCGACTGGTCGCCGAGACCAGTCTCCGGTGACGTAAAAAAAACTATCAAATTCACTATCAAAAATGATCGAAATTCACTACCCAAAAGTTGGTTTGTGACTAAAAAAAATCGACGGTCGCGCGCATCGGTCGCAATACACTGCTCTCGGACCGGTAGTGTCGCCGGTCGCCACGATAAAGTTCAGTCGCGCGACAACAGTCGTGCGTTGGAAACCAGATAATAGGAATTACATATTAACAGTCGGACGGCGACTGTCGCAGCGACCTGTCTCGGCGACCGGTCGCGTCTAGGAAACCGTACCTTTATTGGCGATGTTATTCGTAAATCGTATGTGGCTTGTGATCTATAACAATGTTAAAATATACCTTTCACAGTGTGTTACAACTAAAGTCATTTTAATCGGTCGTAAATTTGTTCATTAATGTTCATATTAAGACTCTATTGTATTTTTTTGTTGGTTATTGTGCGCATGGAAAAATGAATAATTTTCCACTGCGTTCAAGCTTCTCGGAAAACGTATTCTATAACGATTTATTTGTGCTATTCACCATTACGGACGTGTAAATTTGTTTTTAAGTATTTCGTAAGATTTTTTACGGTCCAATAATAATATATTATAGGCTATACGAGACACGTGCAAGGTCTCTAGTTACGAATGATCCAAGTATAATAATATAATATATAAATGAAACTAAAAAAATTTTTCTTTGAAAAAAAAAAACATCTTATCACCGCGAATCCAATTTATGAAATATAGTCGGATACAGATTTTAAGGGATATGCAAGTCGTATTGAGTGGTTCGATGTCGGAAGTATTTTAACATTTTAAACAGTAATAAATAAACCTGTAAATTAAATTATTTTCAAATTTTAAAAGATTAAAAAAAACTTATGGTTGGGTAAAAAAAATTATAATATAGTCAGAATGTAGCATAAATAATGATTAAAATCAAATAATTAAATGAATAAGAATTGAAAGTTGAAAAAATAAATTCTCTAACCCTATTATTTTTTGTTATTTTTATTAAACACAACAATATAACCAAAACTAATTTTGTGCATCAAACTCGTGCGTCATAAATGTCAGTATTGTGCTTTCTAATGTGATTAAAAAAAATTTTAATTTCAAAAACAATCCTCAAAGTTCCGTTAACATGAGACTTCTATCGATCGAAAGGTAACTTTTGAACCATCAATTCTACCCAATCGCTATCTCAGTATAACAAATAAAAATTTTATCCGGTGACATGCATATGTTGGACGAAACACAAATACTTAAAGTTTGTCCTTCGTCACGTCATTACGCGTCGAACACAATATAAGCAACGGGTAAGTTACGTATCATTAGACATACGTGGTACAAGATGGTTCGAGTTTTATGTATAGGTGACTGGGACGGTTACATATAATCGTATTTGTTTTGGACATTTAAAATCAATATTATAATGAATCATCGAACTCGCAAAAACGATTCGGATCAATAAAAAAGTCGTAATAATATAAATAAATATTGTACTTTTTATATTATTTTCCTTAAAACAATTGTTAGAGATACATGAAATACTTCCCGTAATAAATACATTTTATATATTCAAACTATGATATGATATAAAACGTATTAAGTTGTATCGAAACATAAATATCAACAAAACCGCAATTCTCGTTTAAAATAACATTCATTTTAAATTTCTTAAATCGTAGTTAGAAAAATATATAATATATGTTATATATTATGAAGTAGTTGGAAATCGTTCTTCAAATAAAATAAAAATAACATTTATGAAAGCAATCTATTTGACTTTGATTTAAGATGTATGAACGGTTTAAAAAAAACAGACGTAGTCAATTTTTTTTTTTTTTTTTTTTTGTATCATTTGTTATGTTAAATGCTTATTTATAATAAGAAATAGTACCAAGAAAATTAAAACGTATGTTTTTATATCTAGTTTCCGATTCGAGGAAATTATTTTTTATTATATATTATATTATTTTATTATATAGATTGGTGTTCACAGCAAAGAAATAATTATTATAAAACTAGGGAATTTTTCTCATATGGTTTAGATTATTAAAGTAAAATAAAACTATAAAACCAGTGATTTACTAAGGTTTTAAAAAGTTCTTACAACATAATGAGTAATTTCTATTTCAAACTTTCAAAAACTGCAGTCAATAATTTGTTTTGTTTTATGAAAGTATGAAATTAATGAATTTGTGTTTCTTGTGTGATATTATCGTTATGGGTTCGATTTAATTGAAAAAGCAGTTACTCAAGAGCTATTTGAGATGTCAATATACTTATCGATAAGCCATTTTCCAACCAATAACGAATTATTAGATTGTGAAATGTGTCAGCTTTGTAAATCTGATCTTGCATTAATTTCAAAACTAAAACGATATTTCTTATTTATATATATATATATTCCTTACTATTATGATGATATTATTATATCCGTTATTATTACAATATTAGTATATAATTAAATTACTAATATATCAACGACAATGATGCATTTTAAATATCCGATTATATTATATATTGCAATATAAAATAAAACTATAAAATGAGATAATCTCATATTATAATGTGAATTATGAAAAGATTGAAGAAAACAGATGTTCGCTTAAATAAAACTAATTCATAATTTAATTTTTCCAAATAACATAACTTATCAACAGAAAAACATTAAATTGTTTCTCGAAAAATTCTACATTTAAAAACTTTTATTAATTTCTAAAAATGTAATAAATTATTCTCTTGAATATTTCAAAACAATACGACCACCGACGTAATATTAAAACACCAATTCTAATGTAACATATTTATGATTGAAACGATTACCAAGGCTTTAAATTAAATTTTTATTATGACATTCTTAATTGTATAACTCCTAAATATTGTATACGTTTCACAATAATCTTCAATTGAAATTTACCAAGAGCGTGTATATATTTTCGTAATTGAAATACAATGACTATATTAACCACACAAATGCAATTGAGTACATAAGTAATATCTGTATAAATAAAATGACAAATTATATACTATTTAACTATTTTTTTATAAAGAACTTTTTGATTGGTATGAGAATAGTTGAGTTATTTTAATCATAATGAATTAAAATAAATTGTGCGTCCATGCATACTATTATTACTCGAACGAAGCTTTTATTTATTTATTTTTAATTGTTTATACGATCTGCCGAAATGTTAAGAAAATATTAAGATCTAAATATTATACTTCCCGTTTTTTATGTTATTACTTTTCTATCGTAAACGTATAGTTTATTATATTGACAATGAATAGAACGAAAACATGTAATAAGATCACTGGCCATAACGTCGCGTGGTCGAGTCATTGGGTTGCGATTGCATCTGATAACACGTTTATTGCTCGACGTACACAAAATCGGTCCGGAATAAATATATCTTCTCGGATTGACTTGCCGATAAAGTTTCGTACCCAGAAAAGTTCTCTTGAACTAGACGTCCATATCTGTTAACATAAATAATACACCATAAAACGCTCGATTGCGATCTCTTATTGATTGAACATAATATTTTCGTATCCAAAAGCGGTAAAATTTAAAAGTCGCGAGAAGAAACGAGAGCACAGTACGCGACCGCACGTACAATAATTTATATATATAATAAGTAAACTGCCTGTTTTAGGTGGAAAATTTCTGAAGAAAACGGTTGACGTGTAATCGACTTCATGTCGTGTCAAACAAGCCTATTAATTATTCTCTTTTACACCGCGAATTTTTCTAATTTCCCGCAAACCCGTTTTGGATCGGACGTCTTTTTTATCCTTACAATATTTGCGTATAGTCGGACTGATTTTGATTCCTTTTGGTTATAGTCGCCTTGCCGGTAACTGCAGATGATCAGGATGAAAGCATAACCGCACCGAAAGAGACCACGGTTGAGGTTACCACCGGCACAGCAGCAGAGACCACGGTCGAAAGCACTACCAGTATGAATGAGATCACGGTCGAAAACACCACCTGGACGGAAGAGATCACGGTCGAAAGCACCACCTGGACGGAAGAAACCACGATCGAAAACACTGACAGGATGGAAGAGACCACGGTTGAAAACACTGACAGGACGGAAGAGACCACGATCGAAAGCACCACTGGGACGGAAGAGACCATGGTCGAAATCACCACTACGATGGAAGGTATCATGGTTGAAAGCACCACCAATGATGTCACAACCATAGCCAACAAAGGGATGCCCGCTGAAGTGATCAAGGATAAGCTGAGCGAACAGATTAGAAAAATCCTGAGACACTATCAGCGACGTGATCCCGAGGGCTTTCCCGGTGCTCCGATTCCCGACCCGCTGAAGATACCACCCATGAACAAGAACTTCGGTGTGGCTGACATGACGTTCGTGAACATGACCGTACACGGACTGTCCAAGTTCAAAGTGGAACGCGTCAACGTGGACTTGAAAAAGATGCAAGTAAGTACATCGTCTCCTGCTAATTTTTTTCTTTTTTTTCCTTTTTATTTAACCTATAATTATAATTTTATGTGTGCAACTGAAGGGGGTTCAAGTGATTAAATCGCCTTCCCGGTCTTACATAAACCTCGTCCAGAACTTTACATGTGGCTTGCACACATTTCACTTTCTTCCAGTAATATTCAAACAACGTTTATTAAAAAAATGATACCACTTTTATTATCATTATATTGTAATAAAACCCTTGTTGATTAAAAACTAATTAATTAATTCAATGAATGTCGACGAAAATTATTTTTAGTAACCTAATCGATGATGGATAAGCTGAAACAATTAAGATTAATATTAATAATGGTGATTCTTTATGAAGGTTTAGTCTTATTCGACTTATCTGTTTATCTCTGGAAATAGCAGTGATTTAAAACTTCTAACTTGTCGACTTAATCATTTTGAGTGACTTATGAAGTTCGTTTTCAAATATTTCTAGGAAACTATTAAACGTTGTTGACCCGGTAATTGTAAATTGTATATTGTATAATGCATATTTCATCATTTATTATAGCATTTCAATCCTAGCCCTAATTATTAATTATAATAAATTATAAATACTTACGTCAATCTAATTATATAAAGACATGATACTTGAATTCAATGGTTTTCTATCACTACTTTTATACATTTAAAGTAAATAAAGTAATAAAACACATCATCGGCTGGACAGAAATTTAATCGTCCTTGATAATTTCTAACGAATAATAATACTATAGACCCTTTATATCCTGTTTGTACTTTCAATTCTATGATTTTCATACTAAATTGAAAATTAAAATAAATATTCACTTGAAACTGGTAAAAGGATTATTAATAACACTTAAAAAAAAAAAATATCAGATTTGTTTGGCCATGTAAATTATTTCGATAAAGAGCCGTTGATTCTATGAATCAAACAATTTAATTATTTGTGGTCTCTCATACTACTGAAGGTTTTCTAAAAGTAATTTTCAAGGTATGTACACGCAAACAATACTTACATTTCAACTGCTGTATAGTTCTTGACTTCCTAAAACTTACTTAATTATTTCAAATATAATAAAATTAATACTCTGTTAAGTTGCTTTTCGAGCCAAACAATATTTTCACTAAATAAAACATTTCCGCGTTAAAATCAGACATGATTTGTCGTATAACGCTTTAATAATATTGTTTACCGCAAGTCATTAATGTTATAAGCAATCACAATACTCGTAAAAACATTATTGAAAATCATTACACCACAAGTTATATATTTATAACTAAACAATAATTGTTTAAACATTTACCATGTATTAGATTAATTATTATTCTAATACATGGTAAATGTTTATAAAATATTATACACTACAGTAATATACAAAAATATATCTACATTTTTAAATTGATAAATTGTAAAAATTCTAATGTCATTTCGAGTGTAAACAATGTAAACTATGTAAACAAATCGTGTGATATCTTTCAGTAAACTCAAAAGTTTTGTGTGTAGTGTTTAGTTAAAATACAATACATATTTATTCTTAATTAACTGGATAGGTGGACAGGGATTAACAGAAAAAATAAATACTATAATATTTATATGCACTACAACCATACATATAGTATAGACATACACTTATCAATAACTTAACAAGAAATATATTATTTACTATTAACTATGAATATTGCTCGTAGCCAAGTTTCACATTTTCACCAATGATTAGCGTCAAGCGAATTAAAAATTACTAGATTTTGCAAATTCATAAAAAATAATTTATAGATTTTTAAAAAACATAGTTAAATTAGCCTACTTAGTTTAGCTTCAACGTATCACCACGTAAACAAGTAAACACAACGTATCGAAACAATATAAATGCTCGTTTTAAAAATTATCAACGTGAAACAATACTTAATTTTTGTTCAACTTTTTTTGTTAATGCTGAACATTTTTCATGTGATAATTTTCCTTTTATCCTGTAAATGCTATAAATTAGTAGAAAGGGTTGGTTGAAATAATCGCCGTGAACAACTTCTGACAAACAATTCACTGCTGTCACAACTGAATTACGAAAAACTAACTACACGACCATGTGTTACGCAACCAACAACAAATAAAAAATAATATAATGTTATCGATGATAAATATTTGCTATAAATCAATGGATGAAATGTGAATTTGTCGTTAATATTTTCACAAAAGCAGAATATATGCACAACGAGTGCGATCAACATTTGATATTAAACATGTGTCTTAAATTTGTTAGCCAACCAAATAAACGAGTAGGTCAGAAGGAAAATTAAATTTCTGCTAGTAGACTAAAATTCAATAATTTTTTTTGAACGAAGGATATCACTTGTTAATCCATTTTATCGACTTTTTATTAAATATCGAATATTAACATATCGCACAAAACAACAATATACTACTAAATTTTAAATCAACACGTGTCGTTTGTTAATAAATTGTTACGTCGGTCAGTTGAAAAGTTTTTTAATGTAATATTAGGATGAATAGCACTGTACGTATATTCGTATAACAGATTGTATAAATAATTATATTTAAACTATACACGACCGGTCGGCTGGCACAATTTTGTTCTTCTCCGTACTTTTTCACATTTCTTTCTCTACTTGCTAACCTTTATCTCAATCCACTTACATCTATACTAACTCGATATCCCTACGTGCATGTGCACCAACACCTTCACGTTTAATAGTATACGAACTACCACGAAAATAATATATAACATTGTAATATACTGAACTAAAGGTTATGACTTAAACGAATAACTTACGTTGAAGTGATGACGATGTCTTTCTCTAATAACACAGGATGATCCGTGCAGGGTAACGCGACGAGCATCTATAAATTCTGACTGTTGCATACAATATTTTAATGTTGGATTCAAAGGGTCGATCTAGAATGTATCATGCACAAAAATGCATAGGTCACTGATAAAAAGAGCAAAACATTAAGAATACGAACGAAATAATAATCGTGAGAATCATTTTTGAACAAAATTATTCCGGTTGAAGAGGAAAAAACTAATAACCATAACTATACACACGTTGCCAAATAAAGTTCGAATGGTTCACCGGATAATCACAAATAACTGGTAGACCTTCAAATTGTATTTAATAGCTGTTAACGTGAATACTTCACATATGTCGTATTTGACAAACAAACGGACATTCGATTGATTTGAAAAAGTCCTCATACAAAATATTTGTTCGGAAACAAAAAAAAAAAAAAATTACTATAAACAATCTGGTTCTGGTAATTATTAATGCTTTCGCACCTTTAAAGTTATTTTTTCTAATTTAAATATTTCATAAGGAATTCGACAGTCATAAAAAAAATTATAGCACTAAAAAGTCGTCTTGAAATCGTTAAAAATATCAAAATTAATGGTATTGTTCCTTGGAACTTCGTATATAAGATGTTCGGAGATGCTAATCTTGTATTCGTCGAAATCATAGGTCGATTATGTACAACGAAATGGTTTTGTCTGCGGCCATAATCTATATTTGATCGAATACTAATAGTACAAATGATAACAATATATTACAACGATGATTTCACTAAACAGTATTTTAAGTAACAACACTACCAAAATCTTTGTTTATCCAACACGCACATGTGATCAGATAGTCATGACAATGCGCAGGACGTGTGTACGAACATGATGTGCATCATACATTTACGACCATTTCGTGCCTAGAAGTACATTTAATCTATACGGCAGGATTCCAAAACCCTTCACCTAGTGACCGAAAATGTTCTACCACGTGAAACTACGACCGTTTTCTCAAATCCATTCGAATGTCCTTAAACACGCGTTTTCCTTTTTACTAGGCCATAAGGCTCTACCGCTACGTCCCGCAATGTCATAAAATCTGTGCATATAACTCTACGCACCGATCGGTCACCGCAATGAATCGCTCGATCACGATCTTTGTACCCGTACAATGTACAAGACCACAACGGTCTACGTGGAAAATATTACGGTAAACATTGGTCAAGTGCGCGGTTCTTCACGATAAAGTAAATATTTTATCACATACAATAATTTATACTTCGAAACGTGATTACGTTTGTAAGAGAACCGCGGCTTTGCTCAACTCGTGGACATTGCGTTACATCGTATAGTTTCTGTATTAACTTTCGGTTTCGCAACGAAACAGTTTGCAGTCCGCTGAAATGCATGCAGTACGTGTTTAAACTTCATTTAAATACTTGGATTGAAAATCGACTCGAAAACATCTACAAAGCACTCGGCCGCTTCAAAATTAACAATAAAACCATTATTAATCCACGACTAAAACCACGGCTGAAATATATTTTTAGAAACTAACAATGACCAACAAAATAACTACAAGTCGATATTTGTTTATGTTTAAAATTAAAACCCACCGTGTCTAAATAAGTACAGCTGTAAACTCGTAAAACGAAGTGATTCGACGTGTTGAAACTATTATAACAAATAAATGCTAAAAAAAAAAAATAAAATAATTAATTTCCTACCGTGTGGTACCACGGGGGTCATTTGTTTGCGTGCGGTGTACGTAATACGAGCCCAGTAATATTGATATAACGCGCGTTACGAAATCGCTTATTACGTTCTCTTATCATATTGTTGTCGATGCGCGCAAAACAAATAATATTAGGTACACCGTACAGCTAGCCACTGTCGCAATAACTTACAAATGCCCATAAAAAATACGGTAATAAGTTTCGTCAATAATACTAACGAGTGGTGTTTATAAATAAATTTAAAAAACATTTATATGCGCGCGGTACCTTTGTGTTTTAACATGTACGTGACCGATTTTTTTTTTAATCGACGACGGATTAAAATATTCACGATATTTTAAAGAGTATTAAATCTTAAACATTAAGATATCAGTTCGGGGTGGTGAATGGTCGAGTCGACGCGGTAGACGTTTTTTATCGTCCACTTGCGATCGAGTGAGATGATACGAAATCGAACTATGTTTTCGAAAAGCCAGCGGTGGGACGAACGAGAATCGAAACACCGCAGAGACGTATCTCGTCGTGACGCGACGAGAGTTTTTATCAATCGGGAAAAAAAAAGAAAAAAACCGAGTCGCGTCGGAAAACGGGTGCTGATCACGTTCAACCAGGGCTGGTTTTAATGGGGAGCCCAGGGGGCCCGGGCTCCGGACCTCCACTAAATGTGGTTTTTTTGCATCCAAGTATAAAACACAATATAACATTTGCAAAATAGATTTAAATCACAACTTGCATAAAAATGTTCAACCATTGATATTGTCATCAATTTCTAAAATTAATGTTATTTTTAATATTTAATAACTAATAATATATTTATATTTTATAAATGCATAAAAATTAGTAGCGAACTTACAGGTATAAATTTAAATAAATTGACTACCTTTATTGTTTCATCTCAACAAACCATTGTTTTTTCCTAGCCAAAATTCTGAATATTTGGAATTTTGATTATCAAATATGTGCAATCAAAATAAAATCTACTTCCAAGGATGGATCCAGGGCCCCCGTATTCCTAAATCCGACCCTGCGTTCAACCGTAAAATATATTGCGGCGCACGCTCACGCCGGTCGTTAATAAGAAGTTGTGCCGCGTTTACTGTACGCGACTAAAGGCGTGTGTCGAGAGGATTAAAATGGGCGTGGGCGCTGGACGGCCGAGGTGCGAGAGAGGGTGGTAAAATCGACTTAACGGGGGTGGGACGGGATAGCTGCCCTCACGACGCCTCGTACGATACGTAGTAAACACACGCACAACACGAACATAAAATAATAATAATCCGCGTGCCCCTTTATCCCCCCCCCCGGACCATCGTACGTGCGGCTGACCACGCTAGACCACGCAACAGGTGCGCTACGGCGTAACGTACGATGACGATGATGACGACCGTATTGAAACGTGTTCGCAGGTGTACGTGCTGCTGAAAATCAAACGGATGTACGTGCTGGGCAACTACACGCTGAGGTCGTGGTTCGGGCGGCCGGCCGCGGGCCCGTTTAACGTGACGCTGATGGACGTGGACGCGGAGGCGGCGGCCGCGCTCGAACCGGACGAGGACGGCAACCTGCAGGCCACGGAGACGGACATGGACATGCGGTTCAAGGACTGCGAGCTGGACTTCAAGAACCTGGGCTTCACCGCGTCGCTGTTCCAGGGCATCCTGAGCTCGGTGGGCTCGGTCATGTTCGAGGGCATCAAACCGTTCATCGTGACCGAGGTGAACACGAACCTGCGGGCGGACGTGAACGCGCAGGTGAAGGCGATCACCAGCAAGCTGCCCAAGCTGTCGGTGCCGGTGCCCGACCTGGCGGTGGCCGAGGGCCGGGCGTACGTGCGCCGAATGGGCTACGACCCGTACCACGTGGCCGACCGCACGATCAGCGAGGGCCCGCTGAACTTCACAGTCAGGGACCTGACGGTGCGCGGTCTGTCCGACTTCCGGCGCGTGGGCGACATCGGGCTGCAGGTGCGCGGCCCCGTGCTCCAGATAGCCGTGCACGTCATCACCGGCGCGGTCAACGGCACGCTCAAGTGGCAGTACCGGCTGCAGCTGGCGTCCGCGTTCGCGCAGTCGGGCGTGTCCAATTTCACGGTGGACCACGTGCAGGTGCGCGCGCTGGTCAACCAGTCGCTGGACATACGCGAGAAACCGGTGCTGGACGGGCTGCAGATCGAGATGGGACGCGTCGCGGTCATCATGGACAGGGGCGAGCCGCTCGGCTACGTGCTCGAGGTAGCCGTCAACTCGCTGCCCACGCTGCTGCGGCACATGATCGTCGACGCGCTCGAGGACCCGATCAAGATGAAGGTGCAGACGCTGCTGGACGAGGTGCAGCTGGAGAAGATGGTCGAGGAACGGTTGCCCGAGCTCGACCGACTCGAGGGCCAGACCGCCGCAGCCGGTAACGGCACTACGACTTCGGACACCGGTACCACTGCTACCACTGGTACGGCTACCACCGACACCGGTACCACTGCTACGGTTACCACCGCTACCGATACCACTGTTACCGCTTCTGCGTCCGCAGACGGCGCCACGGAACGGACGGAACGATAGCTGCCATCGAGCGTTACGGGCACGAATAAATGGTGTACGACGAGCGCACTAGGATCTATGCAAAACAACAGCGCGCCACGACTACGTATACACTTCGAGACGATATACCAAAATATTTTTTCGACACAATACCGTACGGATGAACACAAGTGATTTCCTCGGACCAATGGTCGTTCCACGACGATCCCGCAAAGACCGTTCTATTTAATCTATATATATTGTATATCGTTCCGTTAGGCTTTTGTTTTAATTTATTTTTATTTCTATTGTATAAGTGGTTTTTTTTTCTAAAAATATTTGTAACAATGAACGTTTTTTTTTTGCAATAAACACGCGGTTTCTCGTTGTCGTGCAGTCGTCGGCGCGCACGAATCGGTCAGAAATTTCTACCGGGGAAAAAAACGCCCCTCTTAGATATACCAAAAGTATAAAAATAACCCTAAAAAAAAAAAAAACCCCCGTACATTTGAATATAAAATGATTGTATATTATTTTGAGATACTTAATATTATTTTTAAAAATAAAAATACCGTTTATTCAATCGTAGACGGTTTGTAATGCAAGCGCATTAGAAAATGCGTCTACGTCCGTCGACACAATGAGCCTAAGCCGATAAACCCCTGAAAAAGAAAAAAAACGGGCGCGCGTATAGGCGTATTCGTACGACTGCGATCGTTTGCGGCTCGGACAGATTATTATTATTTATCGAGCGAACGGACTAGAAAACCGAAGTTAAACGGTTATATTCCGACTGCGATCATTACGTACGATTGCGTGCAAACGGATTCCGATAAAACGAATAAAAAAATTATACCACCGATAGCTGGTGTGCGGTACGGGAACGCGTACGATGCGCACACCATAAATCGCTATCCGTCGTTTCGATTTCTCTCCGCGCCCGTTTTCTTTTTTCATTTTTTTTTACCGCCGCACGTCCGTTTATCTCGGTTCATCGACATCGTCCGACACACGTGTGCAATACAGGTATGCGCGTGTGTGTTTTATCTCGGTCGGTCCGTTGGCAATTACAAATTATATAGGTCGTGCCGAGCTTGTACTGCCGTACGGTGTTGCGCGATCGTTGCGGATTCGAAAACTTACGGAAATCGAGTAACCCGCCGGTAGTCGGAGCTCGATTCGAGGGCCGGGCGATTTAGATACGGTCACCGGTATAAATGCTATAATATTCTGTCGCGCTCGAAGCTTTTTTGACCGTGATCGAAACGTCACCGTAGAAAATTTCCACACGTCCGTCGCTCACGTCCACCTCGGCTACGAACCGCGCTCGAAAATCATCTCGAAGCAGAACCGCGGAACGATGCTGTGCGGACTCGATCACCATAAGCGAGAATACAGAGAACGAGCCGGAATCGCTGTTCCGTGAACCGAATGTACCGGACAGGGTTGTTCGGAGGGCGGAGGGGGGCAACGGGACCATTTTACCCCAGGCCCTATTGTTGGAATAAAGTCTTGATGTATAATAATTAATTATAAGCCTCGATTACGCTGAACAATTTTACACGCTGCGATTTTCCAATTATATTGAGCGATTAGATTTTAAATAATATGAATAATATTCATACATATTATGCATGAGCTTGATCGGTTTATGTTAGGAAAAATACTTTTGCAAGAATTTTGTTATTCTCATTGAGTATTTTGTTCGTCATATCTTATTATTACGGTCGAAGGGCCCCCAAATCCAAAGTGGGCTTGGCACGTGTTCGGCGTAACCAGAACCCTCCGCAGTATTGGAAAAGGATCCGGCGGGGAAGAGGTCATTACTGGGAAGGTGGTCGCGTACGGGACGATGGGCAGATCTGGTGGAGAAGGTGCCTTAGGCGGAGGATCGGACTGGAAGGTTCGAACGTCCGACAGATATGGCTAGAGGGATGGTCGTTTGAAGGGAAAGCTTTAGCGGCCCTGTACCCAAGAAAAAGATACACACGTAAATGGTAAGCAAACAATATGTGTATGTGCACGACTTGCGGTATAATTAATTTCCGCGACGCACACGCGCAAGTGCAAATATTCCGTTTCGCGTATTTCGCCAGAACTGTGCCACATCGTTTATCGCTCGGAAATTACCATACGTGCGGAAATCGGTTCGGATAAAAAAATCGATTCGACCTACTGCACTAATTAATACGTAATGATGTAACAGTATTACGTAAGAGAAAAAAAAACGGAAATCACGTGCCACCTCTTATCAATGATGTTACAGGAACGCGTAATGAGATCAATCGCACTGTGTACTGCAACCACCACCAGTACTATTTTCGTATTGTTACGCACACCTCAGATGTCCTACCGTAGGCGCAAAAGTCTTTTTTTTCCTCCTAACCGTACAATAGTTAATCGTTTAACGTAATGCATCGATAAACATAAAGTTGCTGTTTAATTTTTTTTTTGATAATTTCGATTTTAATTAACTGCTATTAACAATGATTTACATTCGTTCCGTAATAACTATTTATGTACACACTATTATCAGTTGGGTACACCGTGTTTTAGGCTTAAATTTAAATTCTTCGGAACGGGGGTTGTACTTGAATTCCTTCGCCGTTCTCACTTTTACCCCCGTCCAAATCTATTAGCGAGCCAAACTCGTCGTCTGACGGTTGATTTTGATTGAACAAAATATTCTTTTACTCTTTGAACACATCGAACTGACGCTTTGGTCGTAACGCAGGCAAATATGTACGCAATGCGTACAGTGGACTGACTGTTACGCGGGGCAAATCTGTAGTCGCTTGTTTACGGCCGAATCCGATTCGCCTGAGAGCGATGGCGTCCTCGATGCACGTGGGGCACGAGGCCAAAGGCCACCAACAGACAAAGGCTCCGAGAAGTATAGTTTTACATATTGGCGCAGCCAATCTCAACCAAATATTTGACCGCCGAACGATAAGTTATAATTTAAAAACAATGATAAATAATATTTCACTCGAAATCCAAATGCGCTATAAATACAACGATTACTGATCGGGCGATAAATTTGATTAACAACAAGTTTCGGCGTTTGTACAGTGACAACAAGGTCATTAATTATTATAATTGTATTTCCGCGACGAAATGATATCGTTGATACGTTTTTGAACAAAGAAATAGGTCTAAGAATATCGCTTCGAATTCCAAATGTTTGTTATAATTTGGAAATGAATAGGTAATGCGAAACAATAATAGTACTTTAGCTTCTAAAAGGGCCCCTCCCCCCCGAATTCCGTGTGCCCAAGAGCTCCTGCTTAGCCAAAGACGACACTGCCTGTTATTCGAGCTCTAACTTATACAGTTAAGCTAAACCAAAAGTTACTTAACTACAAGCGCTGAAGGTTATAACATAGAAATGAGATACCTAACATGTAGGTATTTAAATTATAAGAAATGTAAATTTATGTACGGTGTGTAATGCGCAAGTTGTCGTTTGTAATAAGTATTTATTACAACGACTCGGGTTAAAGCTTTCTTCCGTCGATTGCTATCATAATATAACCGAAAATGAAAACATTACAAGAATAATATGTAATAGATTCAGTCTGTTTTTACCTAATTCAAAATTCATGTTGAGTTATACTCGTATTTCATAATCGCTTATCACTAATAATGGCGGCAGGTGGACTGCACAAATCAGTTTAAACTCGAGTTTTAATCAAATTAATTTTTCCAAAAAATAATTTTGAAAAAGTTATCGTTTTTTTCCTCGACAATTGCTATCGAATTTAGTACACTCATGATTTAAACTACTAAATCATAACTCGTTTTTTAAAGCTTAAATATTTATCATGCACGAGTATTAATCAAATCACAAAAGACATTTATAACCCAGACTGTCTGAGTTTCTCGAGACCAGTGTGGATTTGCTTTGTCCCAAAATCTACGGTTTTGTTTATTCGTTATATTATTATTTGTAAATTTAGACTCGTTAATCCACAAATTCACCGTAGTCTTCTTTATTTATGTCTTATCTGACTACAAACAGGTATTTAACACAACATCGGAAATATTATTTTCATCTATTTTCAAGTATTTAGTTGAACATGATAACCAAAACCATGGTTTTGTAAGCTGCAGATTATTCGTAAATATTTAACTTCAACGTACTACAACTTAGCCAATCTTGTAATTAGAAAATAATGTTTAGTAAGAAAATTGTTTTTAAAAAAAATACTCTACCCGAATATGTAGAAAAATAAATAAAATTAGTTGTATTGCACATGCGCATACTGTTCGGATCAACATTTTTGAAATTTATCCGAAATTGTATACTTTAGTACGGCAGTATTCATTCCCCGAAACCCCCATTTCAATTCGAAGTTATCCAACTGAAATATTTAGTTGTACCTCTTAGCGTCAACACGCTGTATAGACCCGCTCGGGGCCTAGCGTTCTCCGAGGCCAAACGTTCATAAATATATATAAACCATAAGGGTCCGTCGGCAATGGACAAACCATAAAATGTCCCGGAACAAAAGAGAAACGAAACGGCTTAGGCATATTGTATGTGTGACAATTTATTTAACACAAATTTACAATTAATTTTTTTTTTTTGTTTTAGTGACCAATCTGCGTACAATATTCTTCATTATTTTCAATTTATACTAATTGCATACGAAAAAAAAAATTACAGGAAGAATCAATTAACTTTTTTTGTTTCAACAATATCAGATCTCTACTCATAGTTGGTACTAGACTCTCTTGTCCGGGGGGGGGGGGGGGGGGCAATAAATACTTAAAGTAAAATATTAACACTATTTTGTCTAAATCTATAGACTAGCAATACTATAAGAAAAGTATTTTATTGATAACTATTTTAACTTATTTCAAATAAGATTATTTTATAAAATGAATAATACACTTACATATACTCACATTTATATAATTTTATCTTACAAAATTTTAAAATAATACCTTATCACAATTTACCTGTGACGGTTCACATAGGCGGACCCAGTAATACATTTGAGTGTACCCAGTCATTTTTTGGTTATTTTTTCAAAATATAAAGGGGAGGCTATAAACACGTACGTGTAAACCGTGTTATAATTTAAATTCTAAAAATAAAGGCATCGTTAATGATTTAAAATCCTCTCGGCTCCAGGAAGATCCTAAAGACTGAATTTAATAAACGTCATACCGGCAATGAGTTTTTCCCTTTATCCCCGGCTAGTATATTATCTATTGTCTTTTTTTTAAAAAAAGTTTTGTATGAAAATAATTGATTTCAACAATTATGTGGAAGGTTATATTAGAAGGTATATTAACAAGAACGTATTTATGCCCCCCCCCCCAAATGAAAGACACCATTATTAAAAATTGTTATTTTTAACAGGAATATGTCTTAAGTCTGAGAGTTGTCCAAAAATTTGTCGCGACACTGAGAATGTTGATTATGCAACAATTTAAAATGTTATATTTATAAAATACGTTTATTCTTTAATGAAAATATATATAGTGAATTTTGAGTGACTAACAAAAATATTGTTTATTACCATGTAGTTTTTATATTTTTATAAAATTGTAAATCATAAAAAAAATTGAGTTTCTTATCTCTCTAATGGTGTAAAGACAGAAGGCTTATAGTGTTAAAGTGATTTTTGTCGTAATTGTGTGCTTCATCTTTTCCTTCCTCGCAAAAATCAAACACATTATCGGCCCCTTCCGAAATGAAAACCTATATACGCTACTGTGCATTAAATATGATTATGTAAGGAGCCCAGAATTAGAAAAGAGCGAGATTATGATCTATTGCGTTCACTGTTTATTACCTAGTCAATATTGTTAACTATTGCGTATTACAGTGATGCACACTGCCGGATACCTCCTACGAAGTTGTAAGTGTCTATAATTAATGTTCTTTTTCGATAGGCTATTCTTGTAGAGGTAAATAGTACTTGTTTACTATAATAGAAGGGACGAAAAATAATAACAGAACGCCCAACAAGAAACTGGTATGTATTACAGCTCAAACCAGGAACTGCTAGAATAATAATAAGATAATAAGACAATTACAAGCAAAATGTTTTGCCCGATTACTGATTGAACAAATTGTCTAACAGTTCCCTCATAATCATTTAGATATTCAATTAGTGACCAAGGAATTATTCAAAATTACTCAACATATTGATCAATCAACTTTATCTCAACTATCTGTAGCATGTTTAATGTGTTGCACACTGAAAGCCTAAAAATGTTCTTAAACCAATGCCAACGGACGAGAACCCATTTGATATTGTTTATGTAGAAAGAATTGTTGATTTATTTATTTATTTATTTTTTTAGCTGAGATGTCCAGAATCAAATTTCAAACGAAGATTACCTTCGTTACTAACCTCAATTATTGACTTTAAGTTGAACAATGGGTATTATTAATTGTTAATATTATTAATTGTTCACAGATGCTTTAGGGAAATGCAAGAGTACACTTATGAAAAAAAATCTCATCATTTTTCATTTTTCAGTAATACAACTGATACATGGATAATGATAATTTTAATTAGAATATATACCTACAACTGAAAGTTTTTTTTTTTTTCAATATCTATGGTAAAATAAATCAGTTGCATATGTGATATTCACAATCTTATCATACTCATATTGTCACATTGATGTGTTAAAACATTTTCTGGAAGAATAACATGAGCTACAACAAAAAAAATGAATGCCATTGTATTTTTATTTCTTTTTAATAACACTTGGCAGTGTTTGACATAAAGTCAATCACAATTCTAATTGATTACATTCTAAGCACCTAAAAGATATAATTAAAATTATTTAAACAGTATATACATACAAAGCTCATTACAAAATTGTTTGTAAAAAATATAACATTCTACTAGATTCAAATATCAAACAAACACAATACAAATTTCAATGTATATATTTATATTTTTTTAAGTACCTTAAATTGCTATGTTTTGAATATGCAAATAATTATATATTTATTGTCTTTTAAACATGTTATATTAATAAATATATAACATATAAATATTAGTGACATATAAATGAAGGAACATTACATTTTGACACAATATGAAAGAGTAAAAATTACTATTGCTAAAGACCTATATATGAATTGCACTTAAGTACTCAAAAATTTCATAGACAATTTAGTAAACTAAATAAGTAATTCAAGACGCAGAAAAGAGGAGCTCTTAGTAGTGATAATTATTGAAGTTTAAAATTTAATGGATAAAAGCTACTGATAAGTGTTAAAAACATTGGACAATATATTTTACAATTTACTGAATAATACCCACAGAGTGGATAGTTAACCATTTAAACCTATAACAAAAATAATAACAAGCAAACACCCGATTATAAAAAGTACATTAAATACAATACAATAATCTGCATTCATGTGTACAAAAATATGTATAAGAAAAATATGTTGCATGATTTTTTTTTTTTCTGTATTATAATCAAGCTGCCATAATTTAATCGATTTAATGTGAATAATGGAGAGCGGCATTTTTTGTATGAATATAAATTTATAGAGTATAATTATTAATAGTATTAAATAATTGCTTCGAGTAGTATAAAATTTCAATGAACCATCACAGAAAATTGACATCATAATCACAATAATTCTTAGGAAAACCACGCTACAAAATTTTTATTATTTTAACAAGTATGCAGGCATATAAAAAATAACAATTATTAAAATTTTTATCATTTTTTATCGCCAAATTCATTATCATAATGTTAAATAATATTCAATTAAAATATATCAAAAAATTATAATTGTTTGGTTTGAAAAATAATATCACAATAAAAAGATTTTTACTAAAAAACAATAACTTGACTATTTAAAATAATTAAATTAAAAATATGTTAGTTACCAACAGAAAACAGATGTTGTACAATGTGCTAGTACAAATTCAGATCATGAGGTAACGTGAAATATAAATAACTTACTTGTATTTAAGTACAACAATAACAGTTTCAAGAGTATAAAGAAGGAAATATATAAAAAAATTTTTTTTACAAAGTTCACTGATATATAGTTGGTTCAAAATTAAGGAGGACCATTAATTTTGATACCCTGTGTGAGCAATTTAATTATATTTTTGTTTTCTATGTAGTATATTTTCATTATCTTGCAATTTAAACAAAAATTGTCTTTTACTTATTTGACCCAATCAGTTTTGATAGAATTCTTCGATTAAATCTTTGTATTTTTCATTGATTACAGGACGTTTCAATTTCAACGTAGGACCTGAAAATAAAAATTTCAAATAAGTAATTATTACATAACAAAAATAATCTTCTGTTTTTAAAGAGAAAAAAAACTAATTAATTAACTGAACTAATTCTTGGGTGATTAGTTTAGTTAAGAATTTGAAATAAAAATTAAAAAAACTGTAATTCTATAAATATTCATATTTATAAGAAATATTAACTGATTTTAATAGCTATTCAAGTTTACAGTGCTGTCTTTATAGTAAACTAATAATTCTTATAATAAAAATAAAATATAAAAAATGTAAAGTGTAATTGAAATAATAGTAGTAAGTAAGAAATCTATATCTAGGATTAGGGTTAGTTGTAGTTTTAGATCTAGGTACACTATACATCTCAGAATTAAGTATATCATAATATGTAATGAATAGACTAAACAAATAATATTTTATTTTAAGCAATAAATAAAAGTTAAATGTGATTTCTTTACATACCTAATTCACCGGTAGGCAAGGAGAAATCAACAGGTAAGAGTGCAAACTTCTGAATTCTTTGTGCATTAGATATTGCTTTCTTGTTTGCTGCATCAATGCCTTTTTGAATAGCATCAAAAACTTCTTTAGGTCTATTTGCAACTACCTCAGATACTTTAGTAAATTTACAACCAAGCGATGATAACCATGTAATTACTTCAGGTGTTAAATCGTCCAATGGTTCTGCAGTCTCAGCATTGACTTCACACTAAATAGTATAACCAGATAAATGTAACACAAATGTTAAAATTATTTATTATTATTTTGAAGACAAAACCCTACCTTTAGTGATAATAATATGGACAAAAATTTTCTCTTATCACCAATTAAAAAAGCATTGCTGACAACAGGTAGCTCAGCTTTAATATTGTTTTCAATTAACACAGGAGGTATGTTTTCTCCACCGGCTGTGATTAATAATTCCTAAAACATATAATAATAACAGTAAAGCATATTTAACATTATTAACTTTATTTGATGATTTACCTTTATTCTTCCAGTAATAGTAACATATCCTTTACTATCTATATGTGCTATATCACCAGAATGAAGCCAACCTTCAGCATCTAGGGTACTTTCTGTTTTATCTGGTAGATCCAAATAACCCATGAATACGTGACGTCCAAATATACAAAACTAAACAAAGCAATAAAATTAAAATGTGTATTTTCCACTCAATATATATATTTAATTCGACATATGTATAATAAAATATAAAAATAGATAAAAAAAAGTAAAACAAAACTTGATATTTACTTCACCGTTACCATCCTTATCAGGTTTATCTATTTTGGATTTCACTCCTTTTAATGTTTTTCCTACACCAGCTACATTTTCATCAGTTGGATTACTCAACGTATGAGCTCCACCACATTCAGACATCCCAAATGCCTATAAAATACAAATATTAAAAATAAACTCAACAAATAAATAATGCTATTACATTACCTCGCATAAAGGTATATCTAAGCTCATAAAATATTTTTTTAGTTCAACTGATATTGGAGCAGCAGCCGAAATGAAATATTTACACCGATCAAAGCCAATAGCACTCTTAATACGGCCATAAATTAACCATCTGAAGAACTTATACGAATATGTTTCTCTTTCAACTCTGTAACAAAAACTCACATCAGTTGGATATGTAATTATCTTAATTTAGTACAAGTTTTACATTTATTGTACTCTACACTCAGTCATTTTAAAAATAAATAATATATCAACCTATTAAATACTTTAAAGACTCAGTTATGGTTAATATAATTAAATCAATCAATCAAAAAAATAAGTAAGAACTAAATGTTGCACTGATAACACAATATATAAAATACTAATATTTATTACAGATAAAATGTTATTTATGTAGTTTTTAAAAATAATATGTAAAAAAAACATGATCACTAAACTATTTTTATTATTTTTTTAAGTCAATAAAAATAAAAATATAAACAATGTTAGCTGAATCTAAATAATTTTAATTTATTTATGATAATCAATTATTAATAACAATTAAAAATTACATTTATTTTACTAAAATAATTTAATATGAATTTTATTCTTAAATTAATCTAAGAAATTTAGTTAATTAACACAACTGTATATTAAAGTAAAACAAAGAATGTTTACTAGCAAAGAACTATCATTTATAGATTGTTAGCATGATAATATTTTGTTTTTAGTACAATAAGAATAGTAAGATCCTGCTTCTTTGACACCTACTAGTCCAACAAACTCAACAATCTTATAATTAAATGCTTCAGTCAGACTCTCCACACAATTTTTTTCTTTCTGTACTTCATTATTGCCAGAGATAAAAAGTACAAGAACTACAAAAATATTATTGAGCTAATCTACGAATAACTATGATACAACTTTAGGAATAACAAGAAGGAACCGGTTAGTAGATCACAATCGATAATTTATTAGGTATTAATTATTGTAATCAATAATCAAACCCCTTGTTCACCACCCCCAAATTCCATATATATAAATATATCGAACTAACAAAATCCTACTGTAATAATATTAAACTATTATATTAATAATATTAAATAAATATTATCACCCTTTCATTGCTTCTTCATAATGATGTAGACCAACTTCTTTAGCCCAATCACCAATATATTTTTTCAAAGCACCAGATTTTCGGCCAATACTGACTAACTTTTCATTAATTTTTTCCCAAACACGTGGAACACCCAAGAAAACTGTAGGCCTCGCAGCTTGAAGTGTATTTACCAAAGAACCCTGAAATCACATAAAAAAAGTATATATTTAATCTAATACAATATAATAATAATAATAATAATAATATAATAATTTATAATTGACAAAAACATTATTTTTCACAAACAAACCTTGAGGGCATCTTTTTCACCAAAATATACTTGACCTCCTATTGTGATAGCACAGTATATATCTGTTATCTGAAAATATAATATTTGTAAATAATTAATTGTAAACTATTTGAATCATTTACACATACTTGTGCTGCAACGTGACTCAAAGGTAAGTATGATACAAGAACTTCTTTGCCATTTATTAAGGACAAGAAATTGGTGATCACCAACGCATTATAGGTAAGATTATCATGACTAACCATGACTGCCTTTGATGCACCTTCTGTCCCAGACTATTTAAAAAAAATATATCAACAAAAAATAAAAATAAAATTAATATAATTTAATTTATTATTTTATATAATTATTAAATATTACCGTGAAAACTAATGTACAACATTCATTGACTCCCATTGTTTTTAATACAGCATTTAATTTATCATCTGATTCAGCAGCTCCAATTCTCATAACATCTTCCCACTAATAAAACAAAAGAAAAAAATATAATACAATAAAATGCATTTAGCATAAATTTCATTAATTCAAAAAATATATAAATTATTAGTTGCTAAATTATGATTTAAAAAACTTACAGATAAAACACCTTCTACAGTAGGTTTGCCTTCATACTGAATGATGGCTTTCAAATGGGGTAAACGACTTTTGACCGATAATATTTTCTCTAATTGTTTGTCATCTTCAACAACAGCAATGTTTGCCTTACTAGTCTCTAAACAATGGAAACAAGCGTCAGGAAGATTTGTTGTGTACATTCCAGCAGCAAAACCACTAATAAACAAAAAAAATATTAAGTAATGAATTTTAAAATATAAAAATAATTGTATAAGCTCATAAAACAATAAATTTACCCAGCATAAATAGCTCCTAAATCAGAATAAAACCATTCAGGTGAATTAAAACCAATGATACAGACACCATGAAATCTTTCGAGGCCTAACTTTATAAATGCTTTAGCAACGGTTTGTACATTTTGTTCATATTCTCTATAAAAATAATAAAACATAATTTATAAAATAATTTATAATAATAACAATAATATTTCTAATAATCATACTTATAAGTAACTTTAACCCATTTATTGTCAGATTTATAATTTAAAGCAGGTAAATCTCCATATTTTTCAACAGTTCTTTTCAACAATCCAGGTACAGATATAGGTGTATTATCAGCACCAGCCTCAATTCTTAATGTGACTCGGCCATTTGCTTCACTAGTATATTTTTGTGAAGCAGGTAAAACTTGGTCTGGCCCATCTGAAAAAACATGAAACATGCTACATTAAATTTCAGATTACTAAAATAAAATTATTTTGAACATAATTTTTAAAGAACTTAACATATATATATAAAACGTTTCTTAATATAAATTAATATTAAGAAACAAACAAAAACTTACAATTTTCTGCTGGCTTTGAGCTCTCAAAACTGCAACGAAAAACATGGAAAAATAAATTTAAATATTAATTAAAATTGAGTATTTTGTTGAATGATTTGAAAGCAAATTTCATTATTTTAAAACATAATTACTTAAAAATAATTATTCTATAAAATTTACTATTTTTTTTTTTTTTTTTAACAAACCTCATGTTCGGAATATTATCACCAACAGTACTGGATAAAAATGAATTCTAAAAAACAAAAAAACTTAATATTAGAAACTGTAAAATAAAATTAAAAAAAATATTTTTAATTTACATTATAAATTTAAACTGATTTTATAGAATGAATATTATTTAATTTAAATTAATAAAACTAATAAAATTAAAACTACTTTACTTCTCTTATGAAATGTATTTAATATTATCAAATGATGACCAACCTCTTTTATTTTATATTGACTTCCACCATTTTGCATTACACTTGGAATTATATCACCGTCATCACTCATTGTAAATTAAATAGGTACTGAAAAAAAAAAAAAGATCAATCATTAAAATGGATCACAAATCAATTTAGATAACTATTTAATCCAATTATGAAGAAATAAAAATTTAAAATACGATAACAGGTATATCAATCTGATAAAGATTACTCTAAATTATTCATTTTTAATATAATATACTACCATTATTTATAGAATAATGATCATAAAACTATGATTTTATACTATTTTTATTTTACAAGTTTAACCTTATTATGAACATTTAATAGAAACAAAGACATCCATAGTTATTGTATATTTTAATGAATTTCCTATAGTTAAATAAGTTAAAAATAAGTATTATATTATGTCAAATCTCAGGGCCAAGAGATCTTTGTGTACACTAATTAAAAAAATATATTATTGTTATATAAAATAAATATAACTAATTTATTATTCATATTAATGAAACTACTGTCAATGTGTGATTAATAAAGTAGGTATATATGATATATATGTATACAACACAAATATTACTCAACATTATAATAAAAAATAGTTAGCCATTTTGCTACAATACTAAATATTTTTTTAATTTGATTTAATTAACTTATAAAAAATATTTTAAAATACTTTTTCATTTAAAAATAAAAAATATTATTTTAAAAAAAAATTAAAAAAAAAAATTATCTGCTTTACCTTATAACTTAATACATTTTATTCAAAAATATATTATATTATATAATTAATACCTAATATTATATCAGTCATTAAAAAAATTAGTTTTTCTTTTAATTAAGATACATTTTTAAAAACTTTAATTTTCCACATTGAAATTATATTATAATTTAAATCATATTAACTAAAATAATTTTTTGTCTGCTATATCATTGGTATTTTATATTTTAATAATAACATACAACAATGTGGTATCTAAAATATAGATAATTATAATGTTTGTAAAAGTATACGTATTTACACCATGATTACTATAGTTGTATATTTATAATATATTTTATAAAACCTTTGTTTTTAATTATAAGTACACCTATTTAAACATACATACATATATGTAATTCTTAAAAATGAAAAAATATTTTTACTAAATTAGATAAAATAAAAAAAAAATCAACACATGAAAAAAAGTTAAATAAAAATATGAATAATAATAATTAATTATTATAACTCTACTGTAATAAAATACAGCATTTTTAATACTTTGTCTTCATTAAAATAAGTTGATATTCATCAGTAACCTTTAGTTCAAAAATAGTCAAACTTTTTTAAGAATTATACCAAATTCAAGATTGCAAGCGTGCAGTAATATATAAATATAATTAATGCAACACAATTATAATTTTAAAATTGTAATTAAAAATATTCACCAATTAAAATTTAAAATGATTAATTTACTGTAAGTACTTATGCATTTACATAGAACCATATAAACAGATAATAATTAATAACAACCTAATAAATTATACGAAATTTATTAATAGGTCATCATATTGACAAAAAAACTTACATTTTAAATTATTAACATATTTATATTTTTTAAGATTTAAGACATTTTGTGCAATAAGCTAAAAAATAATTTTAAAATTAATATTACTTATGATAATACAAACCATTAAGTATACAGTGAATTGTAAGTTGATTTAAGTGATGACAGTTGAATAAATAAATGCAAAATTACATTTAGTAAAATAATAACTAAACAGCAAAAATTAACTAATAAATCATTAACATATTTATATTCTGGTTCAATACTTAAGTTATCAAGTAAAAAAAAAAAAAACAGAAGAAATAAGCAAATAAATTTAAAAGTTATAATGTAGAATTTCAATATAAAATGATGGTAAAAAATATATTATATCAGTGGTTCCCAAACTTTTTTATGTCTCATATCCCTAAAACAAGAAAAAATTAATTGCACCTCCCAATAAAACATTTTTTATTATTTTGATATAACCAAATTATTATCGATCAAATAATAAATATATGGTAGTGCAATATACATATTTTCCTTGCACCTTATAAGAGACAGTTTGGGAACAACTGCATTATATTATATTATTATAAAATTAAAAATTGTTTAAAATCAAAATTAACAAGTAATAAAGGATCTGTGAATTAACTTAAATAAAAAAAAGATTTAAATTATCAATGTATAATAAAATAATGAATAAATAGAAATTTAAAAATAATTATAAAATTACACATTTAACTCGACATTTAATATCTCATACAATTTTTTTTTAATAATTTTATATTATTCATTTACTCATATTTTAAGCCTTTATAAATAAGATTTCCAAACATTTGAAAAAATGTAAATATATTTTTTAAATTTACATATATTTTAAATAACAAAAATAACTGAATTGTAATAAACCTAAAATAAAAAAATTGATTATGAGGTTTTCTGTAAAGATCTACATAAATGAATGTCAAATTAGTATATTACTACACAATTTTAAGATTTTTAAATGAATAAAAAATCTGACACTAAAAATGTAGAGATAGATTATATAAATATAAATTAAAACGGGTTTTAATTCTAAATCATGTTTATTAATACTATAGTCCTATAGCAGATGTGTTATTCAAGATAAACTCAAGACATATTTATCTAAGTTCAACCAAACTAACTAATAATTTAATTCTAACATAAAATTTATTTGTCTTCTCTCTGATAAATAATGTACTTATATTAAGATTTTATAGAAAATAATGTTTTGATTTATGATAAAGAATTAAGGAAGAAATGCATTATTTCCATATGATAATATACCTATTTATAAAAACATTACAATTCTATTATTTATAAAGCTAAAAAAATATTTTAAAACAACTTGCTATAGATATTTTGAAATTATAAACATATAAATCATAGTACTTAGATAAATTGTATAAAAATTATTGCCAATTAGCTAAAATGTAATAGAACTTTTAATTTTAACATTTTAACCAAGGTTTTTTAAATAACAATAAATGTCTAATAAATTTATAATTAATAGATAATTTAATTAGTAAAATTAAAATGATAAATTCAAATGTATTTACATTAATATAACTATACAAGGTCTATAATAATAACTAATTTTTAACAAACATTTTATAGCTGCTTATTCGCAGTATAACTGTTTTAATATAATTTTGCTTAGATAATTAAAAATACTAAGTAATTATTGATATTTTCACAAAGTAGAATCATAAAATTACAATTCAAGGCTACTATCAAATAGTCTCTATTCTTAATGCCAAATTTTTTAATGTAAACATTTAAAAAAAATTAATTAAATAACTACTAATTTATTATAGAATTTACATTATGTAGTGAAAAATTAAAAATAAATAAATAAATAAATAACTAGAACGTATTATTTAAGGACAAATATTTTATTATTATATTAACCAAGGACATAATAAAAAATGTATTAATATGTTTGGTTATATATTAAATTAAAAATCTATTATAACTTAAACTTAAGAAATGAAATGTAAGTTATTACTGATTTAAAATAATTAAATTAAGTCACTCCTAAAGTATGAAAAAAATACAAAATTATAAACTAAAAAAAAAAAATTAGTTAATTTACCAATATACCGTCTTCTTCTCCTTTACCTTTCTCCCAACTATTGTGGTCAGCCACCCTTGTCCTAAACCTCCACTCGTCTCGATTTTCTACATCCACTACACAAACACCAACAGCCTTCATATAACTTTCAATTGCATCCAACCACCTCTTGTTTGGTATCTCTCTTTTCCCTTCAATGTTTATTTTCATAACCACTCTTACTACTTTTGTTTCCTCTTACCTCATCACATGCTCAAACCATCTCGATCTATTTTCTCTCATATTGTCCATTATTAACGCTACACTTGAAACTAACTCTCTCATATTCATTTATTAATCGATCTTTTTTTGACACTCCACTCATCAATCTTCTAAGCATTCTCATTTCTGCAATACTCATACTCTGTTTTATTCTCCTGTAGACCGCCCAACACGCCAAACCATATAGCATAGTTAGTCTCACTATATTCCTTTAAAATTCTCCTTTTAGCATTATTGAAATTCTCTTATCACATAAAACGCCTGATGCTTTTCTTTATTTCACCCAACCGCACTTAATCCTTTGTTCTATATCCATACCATAACCCCAGTCCTTTTGTACAAATGATCCTAAATATTTAAAGTTCTCAACTTCACCTAACATATCACTGCTAATTGTCATTGGTCTCTCATACCCTCAACTTCTTGATATCTTCTGCCTAAGTCATACTTTATATACTCCTTTTTATTTTTACTAATTCTCAATACTTTTCTTTTAAGGACTAACCTCCACTCATCCAATCTGTTATTAATTTCTTCCAGATTTTCTCCTATCAAAACCATATCATCAGCAAACATCATACACCATGGTATTTTGACCTTTTATAACTCCATTAACACTGAGAATAAATAAAGGCTTAGAGCCAACCTCTGATGCACACCAACTCCTACGTTAAAGTCTTCTTTTAATCCACATAAACTTTTAATCTCGCTCATAACTAAGTAGTTCTCAAGCCTTCATACATATTTTGAATCAAATAAAGGCTTAGAACTAACCTCTAATGCACACAAACTCCTACATTAAAATCTTCTATTATTCCACATAAACTCTTAACTTACTAATTCTCGAGCCTTCATACATATCTTGAATTGAATTTATATATATTTTTGGGACTTTTTTTTTATATTAAGGCCAACTTTAAAACTTTTCTTGACACTCTGTCATACACCTTTTTTAAATCTATAAACACCATGCATAATTTTTTCTTTTTTTCCCTAAACTTCTTTACTAGTTGTCTAACACAAAATAATGGCTTCATTGTTGATTTTCCTTGCATAAAACCAAACTGATTTTCTGTTATTGATGTTTCACTTCTTATTCACTTCTCTATAATCTTTTCACAAATCTTCATACTATGACTTATCAGCTAGGAATAATTAAAATTATTATTATAATCAGTGATATTTATAATTACATAAATTAATTAAAATAAATACTTTGTTATTTGCAGAGAGGTTTTTACAAAAATGTATACATGATTTTATAAAATTAAATTATAATGAATTTATTTTATCATATGTCATCGACAAGTATATGTAAGCAAGTACTTTAATATATTCTTGCCCTCAAGTACGAGTCCTAGATTCTTATTATACCAAAGTTTTTAAATGAGAGACATACTATTATAATAGTTCTGGCATTCAGCTAAAATCTTAGATTACCAAAAGTATAACTGGGAACAATTCTAGTTTAGCAACCTATCGATTTTTTTAATTTTTTTTTTTTTCCAAAATGTGTATTTTAGGGTGTTTTATATGTAAAAAAAATTAACCCCGGACAAACTTCGTTTTGAAGTTATTGATAAAAAACTTCAAAAACTTGAAGTAATGTCTTTTGTGATATTTTCCCCTTCTGAATTTTGATTCGTCAATTTCAACAATTAACTCTGGTCCACCTACAAATGACGTATTTATGAAGAATAATTAACTAAAAATTGTCTAATAGTGTGAAAATGAAATAAAATTTTTTTGCAAACAATGTGTGTGGTATCGACAATGGCCAATGAAACTATTATACGAATGTTTCAGCACTCGTCGTTACCCTCCTCGGCGCTGTCGCTTTGCTCCACAAATCGAAAATATCCCTAAACTTACTATGCAATACCACCTCAAGTAGGTAACAAGGACAATAAAAATGTAAATATGTGAAAATTAAAATTAAAAATTCAATTCTAAGTATTTAAAAAAAAAAAAAATGCGCGTTATGAAAAAAAATGAAGTTTTTGAAGTTTTTCATCAATAACTTCAAAACGAAGATTGTCCGGGCTACTTTCTTTAGCATTCTTATAAAACACCCTAGAACACACATTTTGGAAAAAAAAAAGGTTAAAAAAATTGATAGGATGCTAAACTAGAATTATGCCTATAACTGAGCAACTTAACATTTAGTAATTTATCACAACTTAACAAACTTAATTCATTTTAATAATTCAAAACTTTTTAAATTTATAAAATTCATCAGTTGTGTAACAAATTTACAATATACCTAACACTAATGTCCCTTTAAATAAATTTATCTCAGAATTTATAGACATATAGTTATATAAATCAAATAAATAAAATGAGCCATTTATAAGCATAATGATGTACCTAAATAATAATCCAAAAGAGATAAAATAATGAATTTCGAAGACTAAAATTGGCTTATCTGGTATGAAAATAGACTAGGTATGCAAATATATATGACTTCCTACTTGCTCGTATGTTAATGAAGAGCAAACTCAAGGGTATTTAAAAATATAACAAAAATAATGACCATCTATATTTACTGAGAAAAACCATAGAATTAAAGCTTAAATTTCTACTCTAATAATGTAATGAGAAAGTGTACATGTATGACGTACATTTGACAAAAATTAAGAAAATGAGTACTATCTATGTTTTAACGTGTTAATAAAAATGGATAACTAAGGAAAAGATCTTGAAAAATACTAAAAGATAAATAAAATAAATTTAATTGACTATTTAGTAATTATTATACAGATGCACTCACACACACACACACACACACACACTATTGTAATTACTTACTGAAAATTAATTTTATAAGTGTGCTTTAATGAAATGAGTAAAAAAAGGTAAATATGTGAGTTATTAACAAAATATACAAAGTCGTCCAGGGATCGTTGAATAGCTGAACAATATTTTAAGAATGCTGAATAAAAAAGGCTAAAATATGAAATTAAAAAAAGTACAAGCTACCTAATTGAGTTCAAATATATCGGTGGGTCGCGCGTAATGTCTTGACCTCTGTGCACATTATCACATAAATCGCACACGCACAATCACAGAAGCGAACACAACACAATCGTCCACCTCTATCATTCACCGCTATCGCAGCGGCATGTGAAAAATAATTTTAAAAAAAACCATCAAAACAAACCAAAAAAAAAAACATGTTCAAATAGTCCATAAAAGAGTAGTTACGGAATAACAAAAACAACACGATTTTTTGGTAGAAAAAAAAATACCGTTATATCTAAGAGGGTGGAAGGCGGCAAGCGATACCCCTATGTCTGTATAACAAATGTGTCGTTTTTGAAATAAGATTTAATGTGCACTACTAACGTATTATTTACCTGATATCTCGTCAGATAGATGTTATTTTGTTAAGACTGTTCCGAGTGGCGGCGGCGTCAGGACACGTCGTCAAGGGAAATTGTGTTCAGTAGGCGGACTGATGTTCGCGTAATAGTTATGCGGTAGCGGACACGAAAAATGCGACTGCGGCAAAAACGACGTCTGAGATTCAAATGAGCGTTCCTACGTCGTCCTCCCAAATTTACGCGTACACACGCGTGTGCATGTTCGAAACACTCACCCGGAAAAAGAGATAGGACCCGTGGACGATTAACCGATTAATTAACGTAATAATGATAATATTGTACTAATAATAACGATGATAGCGTGTATTACAGTACACAACGCAAACTCCGATAACGTTCGCGACCTAGGCCACGTCGGTGGCAGACGTTCGGATTACAAATACCGATGACGACGATCGCGCGTGGAAAATTATTAATAAATCACACGCGCACAATATCGCGCCGAGTGGGAAATAAAACAATACAATAACTGCAACGTCGTGCACACGGGATTTGTTTGATCCGCAGCAGTAGCGCCGTCGTGCCTTATGTATGATTTTTATTTTTATATCGTTTTCCGAACATCAATCGTCCAATACGTAGTGACGATAACGAACACGCACGCACGAGTGACGTACACGTTTGAAGACTACGGCGCGGCAATAATCCACTATACACACACACGCACGCACGCAAGCAAGCACTCGGTACACTCACCACCGGTCAGACGGGGACACGGCGGCGGTCGTGGTAACGGTTATTGGATTGGAAACCGGCGGACAGGTAACGTCGGGCCTGAGATGACGTCACCTCGGTTTCGGTGGCGTGTACCGCAGTATCGCTGCCCAGTCATGGAAGAAAGGTCGCGTACGTTCCACGAGCCGGACGGTTCGGCCGTACCTGTGGCCGCGCGACCGCCGCCGTCGACCGGTTGAATGAAACCGTCGCCCCGTACCTGACCCGCACGTACACGTGACGACGTGGTTGACCCGGCGGCAGCGGCTCGGCGACAACTAATCGCGTTCGTCCGCGGCGATCGCACCACTTTTACGCGGACCAATGGCAGACGCGCACACGACTCGGCGACATCCGCTCCCCGCACGTCGCCGCAACCGAAATTCGGGCGCGCGTTTCCCGTCCGTCCGACGAGAAGTCGAGCTCTAGCCCGTGTGTCAACGCGCAGGGATGCAGTGGCGGAACTACATATTGATAACGGTGTGATTTCACACGGGCCTCCAACGATTAAACTTAAAAAATTGTGAACATTAAAATCTATAAAATCAAACTAAAAACATCATAAAAGTTTATTTTTTAGTTTTTAGCTTTCCGTGTGTTTTTGTAGGTAAACCATTGCATAATTAGCTATAGAAGTTCGGAATAATAGTAATCTACCATGATCAATTAGTTATTAGATCTTAACTTAGTATAATACTAAGATAGGTATTTGTGCTTTAATTCGTATTAAATAAAATATCCGAGAAAAAAAGGAGTTATAACTGTACTAATGCAGAATTATAATTTTATCACATAAATAAACGATCAGTTGTAAATTGCATCCTGCTGAAATTTAATTCGGTAGAATTAACCAATCAAATCGAATCTTTTAAAACATTTGGTTTTGAGCTCAAAACATTATCCAGTGTTTTTTATATAACTAAATTGTTAGTCATTGAAAATAATAATCTTATGATAAGCTTCCCAGAATTACTAATGGCATTTGATTTATTTCTGACTTTACCAGTAACTGTAACCAGTATTAAGAGATCGTTTTCAAAGCTGATTTTAATAAAAATATAACTCAGAAACATTGTCTCAAACACGTCTAAGTAGCATTAATAAATAAAGAAATAAGACATTCATAGGTATGGGGGTATTGACCCCTTTCTAATGTCGGCCCAGTCAACCAGGCGCGGATCTAGAAATATAATTGGAGGAAGTATCATTTTTTCGAAAGGACAATAAGATAATACAAAATTAAAAATTAACATAAGTAAATTATTGATTTGATATAGAGCTTTAAAAATTACTGCTCATTTTTAAAATTGAACAACAGAGTTTAATCTCCTTTGTTTTATTGCGTATACTAACTTCTAAATAAACACAAAAGACCCAATTTTGAAGTTCTTTTATTTTTCTTTTGGAAAGGACAAACCCCTTTCCCTGGATCTGCGACTAGGGTTTTTTTTATTCTGTATCCAAACTTACATGCGATTTTCTCCCAGAATCAAAACTTGTCACACCGATTCAAGGTCGTTGTTATTTGTTTTTGTTGTAACTATCGTTGTTATTTATGGCTACGATTATATTATCGCATCGAAAGTAAAACTGATTTTAAAACAATTTATGTATGACGAATGGATTGATTTCAGAAACGTACCCAGGAATTTTTTATAGGGAGATTCAAAATTTTTATTTTATCTGTTCTCAAATTATAATTATAATTTAACTAAATACCAACAAATTACTGTGAATGTACTATAGTATGGTTTATATATTATAGGTATATAATCTATAAACTTTGTATATTGAAGATAATGGGAAATTAAAATGCATTATATACTATTATTATACTATTTACTATTAAACCGTTGGCTGACGTTGAATTGAGTCCATGCTAATTTTATGTGTTTGAATTGAGTCCCGGGTATTATCTTAATGTCTTTGAATTGAGTCCATATAGATATAAGGTATCAAAACCATCTATATAGTCGGTGACGACCTTGAACTTCACACATCATATTATACCGGATACGAATCTTGAAAACGATAATCTCTATATTCGTCGACGGCTTAGTTCGATATACTCGTCGAAAATCAAACAGTCGTGCTGAATACTTAGTGAAATACTTCGTGAACACAACATTGAAATATGGAGTCTATGCCGAGTGAAAAAAATAAAACAATTTTGATTATTAAAGGATATAAGTTTAGATTTCATAAAATGTTGCAAAGCGAGGTTCAACGATGGACATGTTGTAAAAACTCATGTGTTATTTTAAATTATCTTCTGATAATGTTATGTTAAAAAACTGTAATGAACACAATCACGAAAAATGTGACGAAAAAATACTGAATAGACAAAAAATTAGTAACGCTGTTAAAAGAAAAGCTGTGGACGATGTTTCTATACGGTCATCAACAATTTTTACGGGAACAAATAAAAAACTACAGTAGTAAACAAATTTGCAGATTTGAGTTTTTAAAATCTGTATCTTATAAATTTTTACCAGCAACTATTTAAATTTATTTTTATACTTATATTTTACATTAATTTTAAATTAAATTAGTTTTTGTATTTTATAGTAATTTATACTAACTGACTTGTGTTTTATAACAATCAAAAAAAAAAAAAAAAACTATAAACAAAACAATCATATACAGCTACTTAAATTATATTATATACGAATTAATTAACTTATTGTATTTTATACTTATTTGTGTTTTATAACGATTAAAAAAAATAAATAAATAAATACTGAAAAAAATCACACACAATTTTTGGGAGACTCTCAGTCAACCTCCACGTGCTGTCTCCTGAGTAACGCTAATAGACTGAAGGGATTCAACTCCGATAACCCAAAAATGTATGCGGGACTCAACTACGATAACCCAAAAATATTTGCGGAACTCAATTCAATATTTGGAATTCAATTCAATATTACTGAAACTGTTGAGTATGTATAAATTTCAATGGGGGGTCCGGATCCGAAAACCTTTCCCTTGGGTACGCCCTTGATTAATTTTATATAACTGTCTTATAAAATGTCTAAATTACTTTGTATGGCCATGTTTGTAATCAGAGCTTTCAAAATTATGATGCAAAATATAATTACGGAAAGTTCAAAATGAAATCTTGACAAAAGCGGATACTACAACCCATTCTCATTAAACGATAGTAGTTAAGGTCATTTCATGGTTTCGAATTATTTTAATGAAGTCAATTCGGGCTTTGGTTATACATAAGGTTATAAAATTTGAATAAAACGAGTTATCGATATAAAATGCTTATATGCTTACTTTAATAACATACTGAAATAGCTTTAAAATGATATCATAAAAATGTAATCAAATTCCTAATTAACAAAAATACATATGGTTCATGTATGAGATTAAAATAATATTTTTTACAAACATAATCTGAGTACGGCGAGGCAAATTTTTATAAATTCAAAGGCCACATTGTAATAAATCATCGCAATGAGAAACAACGATTCTTATTGAAATTGTTCTCGAATTTTAATGGCCCTTAAAAAACTTGTTAGTAGATAGTTGAAACACTTTAAACTTTCGATGTACTAAATTAATTAATTAATTAATTAACTAATTAAGATTCCAAATTCTAGAATTGTTTGATACACGTCAATGATGAAAACCTAGTAATAAAATGTTGAATGTATTTATTCATCATACAGGCACTCGTACATTATAGACCTTATTTGGTGCTATACAGTTTAAATAAATCGTTCTTTTTAAACATTCAAATAATTATAAAATAGTTATATCTAAACTTTTAATTTCATGTTAGGGTATAACATAAAACAAATAATCTTATACTCAAATTTTAAATTTTAATAAAAAACTATTTTTAGAAATATAAATCAACATATTTTACTTATTACTAAAATTGTCAACGTTTATAAACATTACACTATAGTTAAACGGTTTAGTAGTATTTCTTTTGAAACCCAATGATCTTTCATTTATAATAAACATTTTTAACGTGGATGAGTTTGTTTTTAATTTTCAGAGCTTATTTGTTACGTAATAACGGGGATAAACTAAATACTTAAATTGTTTTAGTAAGATATATAAGTATTATAATTATATATATTTTATTAGTAATTTCCATTAGATAAAGTATACAATTTAATATATTATATTACTGAAATAAATATTTTCGTTTAAAAATGCAAGCAATTATACATATTTAACATAATTGTTATTTTTTAAACTAAAACCACTTATGCATAGTTATTCAATACTATTTAATCGTTTATATTTAGATGGAAGTTTTTTAAAATATGTAATTAATTTAAAAAAATCGTTAAATTATCTCTTAAGTAATTAACTAAGACTCCACAATCACCCCAACCCTTTTATTTCTGAGCTATCCTCAAACACTTTTTCTGGTAATAATACAAGGAGACTTAAGCGAATGTGGCCTAGAGATTTCCTAGTTGACGAATAAGCTAATTAACATGGTCCGTGGGTTAAATATAAAAAATAAAAATGAAAAAATTATAATACATCTATCTTATCTATAATAAAAATATTCCCGCAGTATTGTCACTGGACGACCTCTTCAATTCACGCATTTCATGCAAAATAATATTAGTGTTATATATAAGTAGGAACTATTGTAAATACTTATATTTATTATTAATCACTTATATTATTGTTTATTTCTATACTCCTTTGTGCTTATTGTGCACAATACACACTTATTGTGTGTTATTTATAACCATATGCGTACAGATTGTATAATTTTCTAATTAATAAATAAAAAAATAAAAAAAAAGTAATTAGATGATTTTTCCAATCGATGTAACAATTATGAAACTTTAAGAGTATCTACTTCAACTAAATGACCATACAAATTATACTGTATCTAAAGCCTAAATTTTTCACATCACCTACAACTCATAAAATAAAAAATTATTATTATGAGATGCCACGTGAAGAATTATTGTGTAATTCTATTTTAAAATGTGATTGACTATTGAACAAACAACAAAAACTCGATAAAAATAATTATGTACAAGAAATTACATAATAAAAATAATACCTTGTAAAAATATAAATACTTTATTTTGTATTAGGACGGAGAGCAAGAAAAAATTGTATAAATTAATTAAGTTAGTAATATTGCTAATATAAAATATAAAAAAACTTTAAATACAAATATTTTAAAAATAAAATATAATATACAATTACAAGAACAATAAATTTAGTATTTAATCATTCAATAAATATATTATAACACAACTATACCCCCAAGATAGTGCATTAGATTATAAGATAATTTAGAAACTATTTATGTAAAACAAATGAATAACTAAGGAAAAAATCATTTGAATTTAGCTTTTTTTACAACTTTTTTGTCTGGAGTCAGTGTATCACCTGAATTTTTAGTAGGACTTTTACCAGCTTTATTATTTTTATAGGCCAATGACATTTTAGTTATATTATTTTTGTAGACATCTTCATGTATTACCACTCGTTTAGGATAATGTATTCCAATCATACAACCGGCTCTCTCTTGAAGTGCCTTTGGTGCCAGCCAAGGTTCATAAATGTACTGATCTGGATATTTGGTCAACTCTGGTATGTATTTTCTAATGTAATCACCACTCTTGTCAGTTTTTTTACCAAATGCAACTGGACTATAAACTCTAAAAAACTGATGAAAAAATGCTGATGCTGATAACCACATCCAGTTGCCAGCATTCATTGACCAATCTGCATCAAGTAATAGTTCTTCAAATACAGCCAATCCTTTTTCCCATGATATCCATAAGTCTCCCCGAGTTAGAAAACATGCAACAGCATGCCTGGCTAAGTGATGTATCCAACCTTCATGTCTGAGTTGTCTCATGATGGCATCGATGAATGGATACCCGGTCTTACCATTTGTCCATGCTTCTAGAAGCTCAGGATTATCATCCCATGGTACCTGGCAACATATAGAATTGCCAGCCATTTTATCAAAATTAGGGGTAGCAGCTCCAACTGTGTAATAAAATTCTCTCCAATATAATTGACCGATAAGAGATACAGGAGGTTTTGAATGCGAACTATTTCCGATGGTTTCTATTAATCTATAGTAAAAATGACTAGCTGACAAACATCCAAATTTCATGTATGGACTTAGTACAGTAGTGCTAGGTTTTAAGCTATTTGGTGATGTATTTGGTTTTTCAAATTTACAAACCCATGACTTATTTTTCATGCATTCTTCTAAACGTCGTAAAGCTTCTTTTTCTCCTCCTGGGTATAAACAAGATTTTAGGTCTTGAGGGTTAAAGCCCTTCAATGTTAGCAATTCATCTACTGTTGGAACATCAAATTCATGATTTTTTAAATCATCATCTAGTAGACACTCTAATGGTAGTTTATCTGGTGCAGGTAGTGGTCGCCGAGGAGGTGGCATTGAACCAACAACAGATACAAATTTCTGATAAGTCATTGGAACTTTACCCATATTTGCTCTGATCACTAGTTCAGTATTATAAATAGTATGTGAAACTTTTTGATCAACTTTGACTCCATGTTGTCTTGCCAAATTTTCAACTTGTTCATCTCGTTTACGTGCATATGGTTCAGTGTCTAGCTCAAACGTTAACAACTTCACATTCCATTTTACAAACAAATCTGGAAAGACTTCTTCAGGTATTCCTCGAATTATATACAAACGGGTACCTAGTTTCCTCAGACTAAGATCCAAATCCACTAAACTTTGCTGCAAGAACCTCCAGCGGTTCATGCCCGCACGTATGTATTTACGAAAGTAAGGATCTAATATGTAAATTGGTTTGAGTTTGTAGTACTCACCATTACTATTTTTCGACTCATATGCCAATTTAAATGCAGGGTTGTCGTGCAAGCGCATGCCTTTTCTAAACCAGTGAACACTTGTTCCAAATTCATTCTTAGTGCCCATATTGTATTTCATACACATACAAGACACTCATGGACAATCTATACAGAAGAAACTAATATAATCACGATAATATTATTACATAAATATATATATATATGTATTTATACGCGGACGAATGCATCACGTGCAATTGATAACTTACCTAAGAGTGATTGACTTCAGAATTTTGAGTTAGTTCAGAATGATTGTTATTCAAATTAAACGATTTCTACATTCATTATTTTTATATCAACATAGATTACACAATTTTATGTAATCTGAGATATGATGGGTGATAAGCTTTGATAGTGATAATCTGATAACCATGAACACGATAAAGATACTGATCACGATTTAAAATATACTAATATGAAGTGATATTAATGATCTTATCCATATTTCCGTCGCAGAACTTAAACTTTACAACACTATATTTTTTCTTCTTCTTAACATTTAAAACCAAACGTTTAAAATTGATTGAAACTAAAATTCACAATACGCATAGGATAAAACATATAATATATATAAACTACAGTTTTATCTCGAATATTTTAGTAGCACTTAAGGAGTAACTGACTTAAAATAATCCATTGAATTATTAGTTCTAATTCGGAATACAAATCAGTTCCATTGAAATTTCTGAATATTTCATTGACAAGTTTTTTGGCAATTTGCTCACATCTGATTTCCTATTGAATAAATTATTTGCAGTTAAAAATATAAAATATAATACAATATTATATCCCCAACTAAAAATAGAAATCGTATCAATAGCTAAATAAAATGTTCTTTTTAATTCTTATTCGTCATTTGGAGACTCGTCAAAAATTATTTAATACATTTTGAACGTTTTTCTTCAAATTGTGTCGGTATTTTCATAGATAAAGCTGCTTATTTCGCCTTTTCTATCAAAATCTCGAACTTATTATTTCTAATATTTTTTATAAAAACACTAATCTTTTTTTATGAAGATTTAGCTTCCTACTTCTTTCACTGACTAAAACAAAATTATTAAAATTACAAAAATACTCAAATACGATTATGGTTTACAACTTGATTATTATAGTTTATTTGTAATGTAATGATAAAATAATAATCTGCATGGTCTGAGTCCGGGCCTAGTTTATTTTATTTTGTTTTATTTGGAAATCTATTTTGATAGAACCACCTATGACAAAGATCATCAGTTACGTTTTTTACATTTTTTCAATACACTTAGGCGAATCGATTTTTCAATGCAATTTTTTATAATACAAGGCAACTCCGAAGAAACTCGCAAGAACAAAATAAATCCTATACCACTAAATGCCTATTAAAAAATCACTATAGTGCCTATATTTTAAATCAATTAAGTATGTTTTCGTTTTAACTTCTGGCCTGAACCTGTTTCGTCAAGCTCTATAGGCTATGGTTCTTAGTGGATCAGGAGAAAATTTCATTGAACCCCCAACCTTGAATGATCGACAAAGTGACTATGATAAGTTTTGCACAAACAGGATTGTTTTAGGTTTTAAAAAATAAAACATTATAATAAGTGCAGGGTTTAAAGTGTAGGAATAAATTAATGATTAATGAAAAACGAAAATAAATAGTAGCTCGACATCTATATAAAAAAAAACTGACATATTAAAAAGCATATCTCCCTTTTAATTCTATACAAAAGCAGTTTGAAGTGGGTTCAAATTATTTGCACTAAAAATACATGAACACAACATGTGTATTTATATCCATATATAGGTATGGAGGTACCAAAACGCACAGAATTTTTTTCAGAAGTGAGCAAACCAATATTATCATATAATAATTTAAATTTGAATGTCTTTAGGGAACTACTTGTTCAATGCAGATTTTATTCACATATATCAATTCTTTTCATCGCTGTTTTCTTTTTCTTTAAATAACTGTTATTTCGAGGAAGAAAAATTTAAAATGGTCCAAATGTTTCCATCTTCATTAGATATCAGTTATCTGCAGTCATGTGTATGTGTAGAACGAAAATCTAATTTAATATGATAAACTTGAAATGGCCAATCCAATAGTTTTAGTAAAAAGTCATAAAATTGAAATGGTATACTTTACATTCACATACCTATGCGTGAATAAAAACAGGCTGCAGATTTTAAATCTTGATGTGTATTTTCCAGTAAATTACATTTCAAATTGTTTTCGAATGCGACAAAACATATTACGTTGTTTAAATCGAATTATTATTTAATCGAAAAATGAAACCAGTTTATCCAATACAACATTACGGAAATCATTTTATACAACCATACGGAAAAAAATATATACGTATATACCATACTTATTATGGCACATAATTATTTCTCGAAACGGAATATCCTTTGTGCAGGCGCGAATACAGAGTGATTATAAGGGGGGGGAGACAATTTTATATTATAGACATAATATAGTATATATATTATATAATGATTCTATAATGTTATAAGTATTACCGTTTACCATAAATATTTCTTAACACTATAAAGGAATAAACTTTCAAATAAAGTTTAAAAAAAAAATAGGTAAGTACATTGAAAAGAAAACTGTATAATTAAAAACAATAAAAATAAATATGAAATTAAATTAAAAATTATAGAGTGAAATTTAATTTTCTTTTGCTTTCTGAAAAAATGTCGATATATAGTTGTTATAGAGAAAAATATAATTTTTATCGTTGCTTGACATAAAATGTTATAATTTTTTTTTTCGTTTTGTTTCGTGATATTTGGCAAAGGGGCATCGCTCCCATGGCCCCCATATATACACACCTGCCTTTGTGACACTAGTTTGGGAAGCAAATACGAATCTTTATATTTATAAAGTTCCCTGTGTTTCTCTGATATAGCCCATATATCATTTTTAATTATTGTTAAATAAATCAATACATTTTAATTTACACGTGATATATATGCCATAGTCCATGCCTCCCTGCTCCCAAGGCCGTATCTGGGAGGGTCCAGGGTGTCTAACCCCCCGCCCCGAAATTTCTTCAATATTTTACGAACGTTTAAAATATTTATTTATTTTTAATACCAACATAAATATATTCAGTCAAACATGATTTAAGCTCCGACAAAATATTTCTAGATACGGCCTTGCCAACACCAATCACACTCGAGCGAATAAATAATAATAATTATTATTTTCAAAGACAAATTTCATTGTTATATTCATTCTGCTGGCAACCGGTATAAATTATTCAGATAATTTACCTTAATCATCTCAGACGTCAATAGAAAAAAAAACCTTTAAGATTCCAATAATCAACTCTAATCAACGATAGTTGAAAATAATTTTTTTGCTAAATTTAATGTTTACTTTTTCTATACCACTCGGATTTTATGCACACGAAACGAATTAACATACAATTGATGTATAGAAAAAATATATGCTTAATAATGGAGTGTCAAAGAATGTATAATTATTCAATAACAAACCATAACCGTCTATTTCGATATTTTAATTACATGTACTTTTCTTCATAATTGGAAATACGATTGCTATTCATTTCATATCAGTTATGTTCATAATATACATCGATAAAATTTATAAATTATTACCAATGGACTACGGTAGTTATTAATTGTTTTTTTTAATAATACTTTGAACACAAATTTGTATTACACTGTTTATTTGAGCCTATCGATAGTATAATTAAAAGTGCTTGTGAAACTAATTGAATCGTGTCGTAACGCATGTACGTATACATTTTAAACATACACATAGGCAGCATTAATACCTTCCTACTGGCAATCAATAACAGTACGATTTAAGTATGTTAATATTTACTTAAATTAAAAACTCTAAACACAATACAGGCCGATGTAAATGAAATGCTTGTTTTTTTTTATACAGATACCCAATACGGTTTTAAATACATTTTATTATTATTTATTTTATATAAAATATAAGTATTAAGTTACACATAGGTAATCGTAGATACCACTAAAATCTGCGCCTCTACTAATACTCTGCATTATGAGTAGGTATAACACCAAGTTATCAACATTATTTTATTTTATAAATATTAATTAAATAATAAATATACTTCTCTTCACACAAAATTTATTACATATTTATAAGCGAGTATGGTACATGATGATGAAATGTCGTTGAGATTTTTTTCCCGGTTTTATGCTGTATTTTGTTCGATTTGTTAGTTTTAATTATAACTTGATTTATTTTTTATTATTAGTATGTTGTAAACATTTGGAAATATATAACTTGTTTAAGAAAATACATTTTAGTAATTCAAACAAATAAAATTCAAATTTCAAATAGAATGTGAGGAATGTTTTTTGTTTTCATTAATTTACTACACTTTTTATCATATTGAAAAATCCTTAATACACCACTGTGCGCTGTCGTTATCTTGTAATAGCGCAATATTGGTGTGGATCAGGTTTCTGCAAACTCCGACACGACAAGACAATGAATACATATCATGGCCTCAACAGTTTTATTATGACATAATATTATACTTTAATTAGGTACTTTATAAAGTTATGATATCTCGTTCATATGTTCGATTTCATAACCTCGGTCGATTTACCGTTTGTACCAATGTACCTATAAATAATGCGTACGACTACGTAAGATCGATTAAAATGTTTCTTTATTATAACAATATATAAACATATTATATATTATTGTAATCTTTCAATACTTAATCATATAGATTTACATTAACTGACTAAGTATAGTGATTTCGATGTATATTAATACATGTATTAAAAGTCTACGTGCAGTCTATGTATGATAATATGTATAAAATCATGAAATTATAATGTAACCGAAATCGCGCGAAAGTGGACTTTAGCATCAAAATAAGTATAACATTCATTTACCATAGAGGTCAATTCGAAGATGTTCTTTAACGGGTCATGTCATTGACGCAACTGCACGTTAAAATAATATAACTCATTATATTGCTCTTAAAATTTGTTTTTTCTTATTCAGGCGAAAGAACAACAACCACACACAATTTACCAACAGAGTTATCTGAAATAACTTTCATTGTTTCAAACATGCACGAGTCTATTAATATATAAGCAACACACCTCTTAGGTACAAACAACTTATAAATTATAATATTTTATTGTTCCTAAAAGTCGATTATTCGGGTGTTACACAAAAATAATTAGTATGATTAACGAATCATACGGAACAAAAAACAATTCGATTAACCTTTTAAATAATATTACATAATTGTACTTATCTGATGTATGTTTGACTATTATTTAAAAAAAAAA